AACCCTACGATACTCACGCCCCAGATTTGCCTACCAGGGGCTTCTCATGACCAGCAGTGAGCGAGTCTCCAGCTCACACACCACGCACCATTCACTCTGCCTTCCACGTACAGAACCATAACTCCACCAGCACAATGCACACACTCGTTCACAGTACTGACACACCACATTCACATCTTCATCACACGCAGGGAGCCCCTTACCCACAATGCTTTGCTGACCTCTCTGCCAGTGTCCAAATGAGCTAATTCAGGCTTGCTTGAGAACAATGCCTAGACCTCCAGGTGCTCAGCAAGAAGTCGGTCTGACCTGTGAACTTCCAATAACTTCTGCAATCCCTGGGATCCAAATGGGGCGAGGTGTTTGCAGAGTGAACAAATAAAGTAACAACTGTTTGTCATTTGATTCTTCAGATTTGCCTCTGAGTCACCATTGCAGTGTGGTATCTATGGGTCAGCTTCAACAGTTTACCACCAAATATATACACATCCTTTGTTCAGCTAAATTAAGTATTGCTTAACATTAATCCCTTTTAAAAAACTCATCTGTGAGGAGCCTCAACCAAAGAGGAAAAAGACAGAGCTGACACTAATTGTCCCCATTCACACCCCAATCTCTCTGATCAGGCACTGAAGAGTCGAGGTTTGGATCTGCTGCATCTTAGGACGGAGGTTGCTCAAAGCAAACCTGATATAAGTGGGTTCTTCTTGGGCCATTAATTAGGTACTGTTGTCCAATCATTCCTATCCAGAGGGAACAGAAGGGACAAGGCTGTGTATCAAAGGGGTTCTCTGGGAGGGGGCATATAGTACTTACCACCACAGCAGCCTATAACTGTGATCAGAGCTAAGACCCATTCAAGTGCCTGCCCACTCTCCCTTGAGAAACAGCTTTTGCTACAAGAACAGAACCAGCTTCTCTCCACCTGTCTCCCCAAGGTGACTGAGGTCTGTTTCTTATTGTCCTCCTTCTCCCTCAGACAGAGGAAGAAGGGATCTACTTACAGTTGTCTAAATTAGTCATAGAACTATGTGAAACTGCTGTTTTGCAGATTTAAAAATGGTCAAATGTTAGCCATTTCATCTGGCTTGAATGAATACTTTATCACAATTCCAGAGATAAGGTAAAGAAACATATTTTTCCAGTGGGGTTCTTCCTCCAGTATCAAGATATCATTTCTTTATGATATTCTAGGTTCAAAAATAAACATCATAAATAAACAAGTGAATGTTAGAAAGATCCAGTTTTCTTCTTTCTTATCCAAAAGAACTTGCTATAGGAAAACAGTTTCCACGCACAAGCTGAAACCCACTTTGCCTAATCTTTCCCTAAGATTAGGAAATAATATCCAATCAAGATCAGTTTGAGACTTTCATTTAGGATTCTGCATGCAGCAGGGACTGTACATAGGGATGTAGTGGTGGTGGGTGACAGGGGTCCACTATAATCATAAGATTTGGCAGTATAAGGTGGAGCTTCATAGAGGCATTCACTTTAGAAAGCATTTGTGTTTGTACACCCACGTTCATAGCAGTGTTATTCACAATAGCCAAAAATGGAAACAACTCAAATGTGGTCAAAACACACAATGGAATATTATTAAGCCTCAAAAGGGAAGGAAATTCTAACACATGCTACCTCATGGATGAGCCTTGAAAACATTATACCAAATGAAGTAGGCCAGTCACAAAAGAACAAATGTCACATCACTCCATTTACATGAAGTATCTAGGGTCAAAATCATAAAGACAAAATACAATGGTGATTGCCAGTGCTGGAGAAAAGAGGAAATGGGAGTTCTTATTTATTGGGTACAGAGTTTCCGTTTTGCAAAATGAAGAGAGTTCAGGAAATTGGCTGCCCAGCAACAGGACTGTACTTAACAATGTAACGGTACAACCAAAAATGGGCAAATGACAAACTTCATGCAATGTGTATTTTGCCATGATTTTTTAAAAATTGTGGATCTGATGTCAAAGAGCTGGATGGGATATGGACAATTCTGCTTTTAAGACCAGTTTACCCTGCAGAAACGGGACACTGTGGCAGCAAGCCCCTCAGGGTGAGGGGCTGGGAGTCCATGGTAGCTGGAGTGAACCAACCCAGGACAGTTTGGGAGGAGCCTGTGAATTCTCAGGAGTTACCCTGGGTGGCCTCAACAATGAATTGATCCACACAGAACTTAACCTTCCCTGTGAAGCATAAACAAGCCATCCTCTGTGCTTTCAGCTATCTATAGGGCTACTATTTGTCCTGGTTTGCCTGAAAGAGCTTCCAGACAGGCAAGAAATGTATACATGCTGATGCTCCCTATAATAGGCTGAATAATGCCCCTAAAAATACCCTGTTCTCCTTGAGCTCCATTTGAGTGGAGAGAAAGAAATAACAAATAAGCCTATGAATATGATGCTAGGAGGGGGTTCGTACTATGGGGGGAAAATTATCAGGACCCAGGGTGCAAGGAGATTGCATTTTTAAATAGGGTAGTCAGCTGGTATCACCAAGAAAGTGGCATTTGGGAAAGAAAAAATGCAGGTAGAAAATTTTACATTAAAATAACCCTTTGTTGCTTCTTCCTTGTGTGACAATAAATTCTTGACTTTAAACATAGACTTCAGGTTTTTGGTAGTCTGGCTCCTTTTTTTTTTCCAGCCTTCTAACCAGCACAAAGTCCAGTATGTGCACGCGCGCACACACACACACACACACACACACACACACACACAGTTTACACACACTGGACAATCTCAAATGTATTCATAGCATACGTATAAAATAATAGGGATATCATGCTAGAAAACACAAGAGGTTAACTGATTGGAACTGCCTAGAAAACATGCAGAAGTCCTGGCCAGAAAGTGTTCCACTCCACCCTCAAGCTCTCTTTACCGCTGATTGTCGGAGCAGTTACAGGTGGTCCATTCTATCGCTCACTGTACAAATGAAGAAAACAGGGCCCAGAGAGAGGCAGTGGCATCCTTGGGGTTGCACAGCCTTTCTGCACATAAAGGTCAGATATTCTGCAGGAGTAGCATTTGGTGCACGTGGTCTTTCTGTGAGACCTCAAGTTCCTCTATTACCTCAGAGGAGAAAGAACTGGTTGGATTTCCCCTCTACCAACTGACATGAGATCCATGCCCAGGTTAAAGGGTCCCTCTCTGATCTCTGGGACACCTGAGGCAGCATCTTCTTTCCTGACTGGGAATTCTCCAGGTGTGTGCTCGAAAGACAGCAACAAACTCTGCTGTTCCTGGAGAAAAAGGGGACTTTGCAGGCTGTCAGAACAGAATCTGGAAAGAATCTCTTACTATGGACAAAGGCTGTGCATGCTATGGTGGAAGCTTGTGATCTAGGACTCCGTATTCTACACTCAGGTCCTCTGCCTGGGGACCAAAGGAGGGGGCTCAAAATAAATGGGGTGCTTTAGGATGGTAGAGCCAGGTGTTGTAACTATAACACCCATGAGGAAGATAGAACTAAGTGTAAAGGTGATCGGATGGTGACAAGGCCAATAAAAATAGTCAAATGAATGAGGCTGTGTAGATCCTTCCAAGTACACTGTGGGAAGTTCACTGCTTCGCAGGTGAGGCCCAGGGAGGTAAAAAAAAAAAAAAATACACCCCTGATCCCAAATTCCTCCCCTGCTCTTAGGGCCCAGAAGGTTCAAGAGTACCCTCTTCCCCACTGCCCCTGCCGTGTTCTTTCCCTGAGGCTGCCCCATTCCCAGTCTGCTCCCTAACCTCCTTAGCTTCCACGTTGAGACTCTTAGAAGCTATGTGACCTTGTCCAAGTGGTTTGACCTTTTGCAAATGCTCTCAAATGACAGAAATACTTGCCACTGATGATAACAATGGCTACCATTTATTGAGAAAGCTCCCACTGCCAGGTTTTCTGCTGGGAATTTAACACGTGATCCCATTTGAGTCTCACAACACCCCTATCAGAAAACTGAGGCTCAGAAATGTAAAGCTGTTTACCTAAGATCCCACAGCTAACTAACACTCAGGGGCTCAGGATTTGAACTGAGGTCAGACTCCAGACTAAAGGTCTCTGCTAATACTGTCCCTGGCAAGGTTTCTGGAAAGAGCACCTTTACACATAGGATGGTTGGCCAAAAAAAGGATTACTAAACATATTTAAAAATTAAAGACTCTTCAAAGTCCTTTACCGCCCCCTCAGAAAAACTCCCCAGCAAAAACTGCATCAATGCAATGAACAGGCAATTCACAAATAGGGAAAATATACCAGAAAGAAAAAACGTTTATCACCCTAGAAATCAAACATACAAATTACTCTCATCTGAGAAGATAATGAGAGGACAGCCCCCAGGAGACACTCAACCCAGGCACCCTAATCTTTGACTTCCAGCCTCCAGAAGTGAGAAATAAAGTCCTGTTCTTTATAAGCCCTCAGTCTATGATATTGTCACAGTGGTCCAAACAGTCAAAGACCACATATTCCCTCTTTAAGGAAAACCCCAAATTTGTGCAATAAAGGAAATGTAATCATAGCACGCGGGCGCACACACGCAAAAGAAAGAAAAAGGAAGAGAAAGGCAAACCAATTTCATGCATTATGCTTTGCTTATCAGATTGGAAAAAGTAATAAGATAATTTTGAAGAACAGACACATTACAAATCTGGGGCGTAACTGCTGTAACCTACTCCTAATTTGTTGCTATTACGCTCCTAGCATGGACCTTTTAATTTTCAACTCGTGTGACATGCTTCGCTTGGTTTTTGACAGCGAGCAATAAACACTTTAATGATAATTGCCAAGAGAGAGTCAAGTGCAAAACAGTCCGGGGCGGAACCCAACGTGGGCGGCTCCCCCCTTGCTGCCGACTCCAGTGACACCTGCCGCGCGGGCGGGGACCCGGGGTCCGCGCGTGGGTCCAGAGCAGCTGGCACCACCGAGGTCGCGGCGTGGGGCGCGCGGGGACCACAACTCCCAGGCGCCCGCGCGCCGCCCGTCCGGGACCACGTGACCCGCGCGGCCCGGGTCGGTATCGCGGCGGCTGCGGGTCGGAGTAGCCTCCGGGAGACCCGAGCAAGCAGACGCGGCCCTGGGCCGCCGGCGCGCTCAGTATGGCGGTGAGTCCCCGGCACCACTCCGAGAAGAGGACGCGGGTGGGCGGCTGGGGCGGGGTCCCGCGGAGTAGCCGCCGCGCACCTTGAGATCCTCGCCGCCCCTGGCCCCGGGCTGGTGAGGGAATGTGTTGGTGGCATTGGCACCCATCGAACAGGGTTGGGGGATGGCAGGTGGGACTGGCAGTGTTTTTGCGGATTTCTATTTGTCTCTCCTGCTGGGAGTCAGTCCAGCCAGGACAGCGCGGCCAGCAGGTGCGGGCGCGGCAGGTGAGGACCGCAGAGACAGGGGCCTCAGCCCCGAGCTTTGGCCAGAGCCCGGGGACGGGATATTGTTACTTGGGGTATTGCAGGAGGCTCCCACCAAGGGGAGTCCCCGCAACAGTGCAGCCTGCTGCTACTGCGCACTTAGCGCACATCCCGGCCCGGGCTCTGCAGCTGGCAGGTTCCCGGTCTGTTTAAAATAAACCCAACTTCTTCTCTTCCTCCCTACACTGTGAGTTAGAAAGTAGCGCTTCGGCCGCTCTTTTCTTGGTAGGGTTCACCTGGGCTTGAGAGAATGACAGCTTGCAAAACTCTGGTCTTTGAAAAAACAAACAAAAAATCATATCCCTTTCTTCATCCCATGAAGAAATCATAGAATCGAAGAGTCAGGAAGTCTATACAGACCTATACAGTCGACCCCCATCCCCACCTCCTATCCGTTCCCTAGATGGGGAAATAGATGGGAAGCACTAGAAAAAGTTCCCCAGCCAGTCAGCGGTGGCATTGGGACCCTCCTCTCCCTCGGAAGCCTGTGATTGGACAAATGAAGAAGCTTTTCTCAAAGTGTAAGTAACCCCAAATAAGAAAGTAGGGAAGAAACAAGGCCCACGGATTGCACCCTCCTTTGCTTCAGTCCCTCTCCACCCAGGGTGTGGCCCTGAATAAAACACAGATAAATTAAACTGCCAGAGACTCAGATTCATCCCCAGTGGGAAAACAAGATTAAGGCCCTGCCTTTTGTATATCTGAGCACAAAACCCTTTGACTGAAAATTACAGCCATGAGTCTCCTCAGGTCAGGGTGTGTGAATTTGAATCCTTTTCTTTAGCAAAAAAAAAAATGAGTGGGCTAGGTCAAGTGACTTTCAAGTCCTTGACCCCCCCCTCCCGGATTTCCCAGAGAAGTGGAACTGATGTGGCTCAGGGCACTTCCAGCTCTGAACACACTGTACAGTACCTATCTTCTCCACTGCCTCCTACTCCTACTTCAGACCTGTCCTAGCACCTGCTCCCAGCATTCCCTGCCAGGTGTCCCCCAGGCAGCTTTGCTGTCCCCCCACATTGTGTCTTCCCTGCCTCTGACTACATACACCCTGTTATAATCACCTGTTGGCTTCTGTCTCCCCTGTTCCATGAGGGTTCAGAACTTTTCTTACTCATCTGTGTATCTCCAGGGTCTGCGTATCCCTAGCATAACAAAAGGGAATTTTGCTTGAATAAATTTTGCTGTCTGTAGGTATTCTGGTCTGTGACAAAAGGTGTGCGGCTGTTTTGAGCTCCTGAGGTGGCTGGCCCATGCCCAAGGATGACAGAAGGAACCAGTTGTGGAAACTTCCAGAGTGATTAATTATCCACTGGAGACATTCCATTCATGCCAGCTGCTTTACCAACTGAACTCAGAGAAGGAATGATGGGCAAACCCCCCCTTCTCACACCCACAGATAGAGCTCGAAGCTTCTGTTAGTCTAATGAGTGCAATGCCATGTATAAATGGAGTTTCGGAGGCTATTTATGCCCGTTCATTTTTGTATATTAATCTTTTGGGAGCATTTTGCTGTCAACACATAGCCTTCTGAAATTCTAACAGGAGATATCTGGATAGTGGAATTCAAAATGAGTTTGACTTTCTATTTGGTAGTTTCAGCATTTTGCATTGAGCAAATACCACTTGCATATGAAGGAGATAAAAAGCTAGTTTTGTTTTTAAATTCTTCAACATAATTTTTAAATAACTGCTCAGATTTCCATCTTGAAGCTATTATTGTAATTTACCTGACCAGGCAGGAGAACATCATGGTTCAGATGTTTTGTCAAAGTGTGGCCCCACAGACACCTACCCATAAGCACTCAGATTATTTGCTGAGAACCAGCACAGCCTTTCCAGAAAGATGTGTGGTTCTGGGTACTTGATCCCTGAGTGACCTTGGGCAGATCAGTGGACCTTTCTGTGCTTTCCTTGTCAATTTTAAAGGAGTCAATAATAGGCAACTGCAGAGATGTTGGGAGAGTGACTCAGATAAAGGACAGAAGGAGGCAGGCACGGTGCAAGCCCATACAGGCTCTGGGAGAACGCACAGCTGCGTGACTATTTTGTTAATCAGATATTTTTACATTCCTTCTCCCTCCTGCAAATCCAGGAGCCCGGCCCCTGTGTAGGCACAGGTGGGAGTTAGTGGCACAAGTCACACCCCTTTGGGAACTGGAAGGTGTGTTTACTGAGTAAAATGGCCAGCTCTACCAGACCCAAAGCCGCAGTGTCCAGGTCTCAACACAGGGATTGAGACATACAAGGACGATAATCCCCCACTCAGCCCACAAACAGAGGCATATTCATTTTTTAAAAATCTTTTTCTTCATCTTTTACTGGGTTTTCAGGTAGGAGTTGAGTTCAAACTGGGAGCCTGCCTGCTTCCCAGGGGCCTGTGAAACCCCTGGTGAGGCCAACCCAGGGGAAGAGTTCTGAATCCAGGCCCCACTTTACAAATGAGGAAACTGAGGTCCAAAGGGGTCTTGCCTCAAGTCAGTAGCTCAAGGTCACACAGCTGTTCCTTGTAGAGCTAGGAATGAGAACCAGGATGAGCAGCTTTAGAATCTGTATCCTGACTGCTAGGTTTTGCTGCCTCTGTTCAAGCTGTAACAAAGTGAGAATTGGAATCCCCTGAAGGGGGCTTGTTAAAATCATGCATCTCCTCTGCCCCCTGCGCCTCTGCCCCTGGATTCCAGTGGAGGAGTCTGAGGAGGTCCAGACATCTGCATTTTAAATAAGGCCCTGGATATCCTAAGGAGGCACTGCTGTCCCTCTTCTCTAAGCCACTTGCCAGTGTGAGGCACAAGACTGTCCTGTGTCTCCCAGGCCAGGGCACGTTCCACCACACCCAGTCGCTCACCTGGAACTTAATCTGTCTGTGTGGATCTAGGTATAACAGCGCCACTCATCCAAACCTGTTTCCCGCTCCAGCGTTCTCCCCTCGCCCCTTCCTCTTTGCCTTTTCATAATGTGTTCTAGCTGAGATCTCCTGGGCCCTGGACTTTCTTCACAATCCCCAGATTGGTTCTTGTCTGCTTTCCTGTTTATTTGGAGCATCGACTGAGAACAGCCAGACTTCACACAATGTCTTGGACAAATCCCTTTCCCTCTTGGGACTGTCCTTCTTAAATGGGAAATTCAAGGGGGTGGAGCAGGATTGGAGTTGGACTGAGTTTTGCAGAGCTCAGACCTCTGTCCCCTCTTCACCCAGTGACTTATACAGTGGAGTCACAAGGAAGATTTTATTTGCCCATGTTGTCTGGAAAAAAAAAAAAAGTTGAAAACCAGGGGACCAAAAATTCTCCGAGGATACTCCTACCTCTGACACTTGAGGATTCTAATATTTGGCCTTTGTCTTAGAAGGCAAAGTCTCCCACTGGCTGATCCCAGTGCAGCCACATCTCCTTGGCTGGGTGGCCCTGATGGCTTCGGCTGCCTGAGGGCCTTCCCTTCCTTGAGAGGGTGATCCTGAGAGCCTTAGTTTGGCCTTAAGCCTGGTTGGACATTTAAAATCTCCACCCATCTCCCATCTTATCTTCTTTTCTTGGTGACTGGGAGGCTCAGAGTGTCCTGGAGAGCACAGAGCTTAAGAATCCAGCAAGCCTCAGCTTTGAAGTCCAGCTCTGCCTCTTCCTAGCTTCATGACCTACAGATTACTTAACTGCTATGAGACCAGCTTCCCCAGTTTTCCTTCCTGTAAAATTGGCCTAATTGTCCCTATTACACATAGGACTATTGTGATGCTGACATAAGATAATGGGTTAAAAGCCCTGGATGCCTCTCTGAACAGGGATGGGTCCACAGGCACTGTGGGGCCAGTGTTTTCACCTTCAGGCCGGAATTCCTGTAAGGCTGAGAATGCATACGGGACAGAACCATTATCCCTTCTCTCTAATCCTGGACACAGAGCTGGGCTCAGTAAACAGTGACTGAGTGGGCAGATGTGGTGTCCAGATTAAAGACAGCTGCCCTTGCCCTACCCCATGACAAACACCACCAGATCCTGGACCCACCAGGACAAAGAGGACCCACGCCACCTTGAGGAGGCCATACTGGAGCTGAGCAGAGGGCTCAGACCCAGGGGTAAGAGGAAATGGTCGCTCCTCAATCTAGTGCTTCACCTTTGGATTTGGAGGTGACATCCCTGCATGGCCTGAGGACATTTGGTGACACCCTGAGTCTGGTTGGCCCTGTGAGGGTGGGCACTACCCCACCTTTCCTTCCATGTGGGACAAAACCAGCTCAGTTACAGCTCCACTGCTGACCAGAGTGGGCCAGCCCCTGCTCCATATGGCCTCAGTTGGCCATGCTGACCTCTAAAGACCCTTTCAATATGTTAAGTCCCATGTTCCTATCTTTCTGGGCCTCCAGAAGAGGATGTTGAAAAGCTTTAGGAGCCAGGGCTTCCAGTGTCCTGAGCCCCCTGTGATGCAGATTCCCTGCTCTTTCAGATGCATTTCATCTTCTCAGACGAGGCTGTGCTTCTGTTTGATTTCTGGAGTGTCCACAGCCCTGCAGGTAAGAACTGGCACGCTTAGACTTGCAGTTGGAAGTCTTCTGATAGAGGCAGAGGAGAATCTGGATTCTCTTCTCTGTGGGCATTTAGGTGAGCCTGACTCCTCAGGCATAAACATTGAGCAAGAACTCTGCATTTATGATTTCATGTGCAGTCACCTCTCTTCTGAGCGCAGAGGGCTTTATTATCTCACTGATCCTCACAAGAGCTAGGGGAGGCAGCTTCTCCCTCTACCACAGGGAAAGGAACTGAAGCCCAGAGAGGGGACATGCGAGGGCACACAGTGAGTAAGCATCGGAGCCAGAACTAGATCAAGGCCTCCTGTTGCTTCCTGGCACCTCCCTCATCTAGGTTCATTACCTAGCACTGGCTCAGAAGTCCAAAGTGGCAGCTGCAGCCTTGAACCTCAGATGAAACCCTACTCTGAAAAGGAAGAGTATTCCTTTGACTTGAAAGGGTAGAGTTTGAGGGCTGGGGTTGTAGCTGGCAGAGCGCTCACCTAGCACGTGTGAGGCACTGGGTTTGATCCTCAGCACCACATAAAAATAAATAAAACAAAGGGTATTGTGTCCCATCTACAACTAAAAAAGTTTAATAAATAAATAATATTAAAAAGCAGACTAGAACTAGCCACAATGCCCATCATTGCAGGTGTGGATCAAATAAATCATAATCATCTCTACAGTGGATTGCCATTCCAGTTAACTGTTGCTAGGCTGTGGATTAGAACAATAGTCATTTTATTATTCTCTCTCAAAGTTCTGAGTTCACTGGGCTCAGCTAAGTGTCCTCATTCAAGGGCGCTCCTGCATGCGGTATAGTTGAATGGTGGCTGCAGCAGTTTTCTTGAGGACTCGCACTCTCCTGTCTAATGGTCGATGCAGGTTGATCTGGGGCTCTTGGCTTCCTTGTGGCAGGGTAGCTAGATTCTAAGAATGAGTGTTCCAAAAGAGCAAGGGAGAGGAGCATGAGGTTTTTAAGCCCTAGCCTTGGAAGTCACAGCATTACTTTCACGTTATTGGTTGAGGCAGTCACAAAGATCTTCCTGGGTCAAAGGGGAGGGAACACAACTTACACCACTTGATGGCAGGAGTGTTGACACTGTAAGAAGAACATGTGGGTGGTAATATTGGGGTGGCTGTCTTTGGACAATACAATATCACAGATACTGTGGAGCCACCAGGAAGACAGATCTGGGTGAACTAAGGGGAACCCACATATGAAGTTGGGTGCCGGAGAGTTTGCAGAGAGGAAGCTGTCATTTAGACAAGTGGAAGCCTGAACACTGAGTAACAGAGGCTGCACTGGGGAGGAGGATCGGGTTCCTAGAGACCGGGCTGGGAAGGAGACTGACTTTTCATTATATGCCCTTTTTTACTGTATAGATTTTTAACACATGTATGCAGTTACTTGTACTTTTATATTTGAAAAGTCTATTTCTTGTGCAAGTGATTTCCTCTGAAGGAAAAAAAAAAAAAAAAAACTACTTCTGTTCCTTTTCTTAAACTCAAGACAGTTCCATGACCAGAAAGTAGGTCTTCCCCACACAGGCCCAATTTTCTGATCCCAGTTGGGAGACCTTCCATTCAATTCTCATATGAACTGGAGTTAGCACAGACCCCACAGGGTAAGAGCAGTCTCATGAAACTGCCCCACTCCGACACCGACCACAAGTCCTAAGATTTCCAGTTGGCTATAGAATTAGGGTTCCCATGAGCTCCTCATTGGTTTATTTGCTAGAATGGCTCACAGAGCTCAAGGAAATAGTCTCTGTAGGCACGATGGATTAAGTCATTGACCACTGGTGATCAACTCAACCTTTAACCCCCCTGCTGGTCCCCAGAGGTTGGGTGGGGTATAGAACTGAAAGTTCCTACCCTGTAATCATAGGTCAGTTGCCCTGGCAACCAGCCCCTCCCAAGGCTGGCTATCCAGGAGCACTAGCCACTTGTCGTCTTAATAGCACACAAAAAGACAATACTAGCAAGGCTCCAAGGGTTTTAGAAGCAGACCAGCAAACCAGGGCAAGACCAAATTTATATTTTTTATGTCACAGAGTCTCATACAATACTTTAAGGTGGACCATTTATTATCTTTTCACTTGTTTAAAAATAAAATAAGTAGCATTGGCAGTTAATTTTACACAGCAGCCCTAGGACTTACTTTTCTGTAAAATAACTTAGAGCTTTTCCCCACTATAGAAGTAAACACACCTAACAGAAGAAATGTTAGAGAATGAGGCAGAAAGAAAATAGAAACTCACCCATATCCTGATGTACTCAGATAACTATAACCCCTTTGCTGCATCCTTCCTTCCAGCTTTTTAGGTGTACTTGCACATAAATAGGCCCTTGCTGTATGCACCCATGACATGACAGCGATCATGCAGACTGCTGGGAGGGCTGGATGATCCCTGCCACTTGGCCCCTCCCTCCTTCCTTCCTTTTTTCCTTACTTTTCCCCAAAATTATACATATTTTTGGAGGTGCCATGTGATGTTCCCAAGCACGTGTACATTGTGTGATGTTCAGTCAGGGTAAATGTATTTACCGAAATATTTATAATTTCTTTGTTGTGAAGACATTTAAAATCCTTTCTTCTAGCTTTTTTTGAAATGTGATATTCATTATCAGTATCCACAGTCGCCTTAGTGATCATGCAATCTAGGACCTACTTCTCAACTCAGCCTCTTTTGACAGGCATGGCCCTTTCTGTGCTGGTGGTCCTGCTCCTGGCTGTGCTGTACGAAGGCATCAAAGTTGGCAAAGCCAAGCTGCACCACCGTACTCTAATGAGCCTGCCCACTGCCACCAGCCAGCAGCTCATCTTGGAGACAGACCAGGATTCTGCAGGCGCAGGCTCAGACTCATCCCCAGTCAGCAGCACCAACCTCAGGTACAGGCACTGGGCGTGGGGAATGGGCAGAGTCCTCACGCTCACCCTGAGAGGAAGGCTGGGCAAGAGATCGTCAGCCCCAGTGTGCAGAAGGGAACTCCAGGCCCAGGGAAGGACCAGGACTTGCCAGAGTGGTGACAGTTAGAAAGGTGAACTAACATAACACTCAGGTGTCCAGATGCCTGAGCCAAAGCTCTATTGATAGCCACTTTAGGAGGCTCAGATTTCTGCAGGGACTTGTGATCTTCAGAATTCCAGTGCAGGCCCCTGTCTAGCAACATGGGTGGCCACCCAATCTTCCCCCAAATCTCACTAGGCTTCCAAACCTAGGAGGGGATCTGTAGCTGTCCTGAAGCAAATGGTAAGAATTGGGTCAGCAATGTGGCCCACTTGGTGGGGGAGGCAGCTGCTTTTTTCCTCCTTTCCCACCCTGATTGGTTCTCTTAGTATCCCCAGTCCTCACTCCAGCTTCATTGTGCTTAATAAGCTGCTGCATACCCAGCCACTTTACCTGGGTGTCTCAAATCTTCACAACCACCCTGCAAGGTAGTTCTTACTCCTGTTTTACTGATGGAGCTTCAGAGAGCTTTACATTTGTCCTAGGCCAGAATTAGTACATGGAAGAGTCCCTGCCCTTTCCATTGTCATCCTGCCTCCCACGGTAGGTTCAGGGGGAAAAATCTGCCTTAATGATGATTTCCTCTTGTCCCTTATCAGGTAAGATGGATGACATATACCATCGTTTTCCCATTTGCCTAGGATGCCAGGAATCTCAGATCTAATTGTGGAGATGTCTTTTTAAAAAGCAATCTCTTTCAAGGAATGGTGGCACATGCCTGTAATCCCAGTTTCCCAGCTATTTGGAAGGTTGAGGCAGGAGAATCACAAGTTCAAGGCCATCCTGGCAACTTAGTGGGACCCTGTCTTGAAATTTTAAAAAAGGCTGGGGATGTAGCTAAGTGGTTAAGTGCCCCCTGGGTTCAATGTGCAGTAGTGGGGGCAGGGGAGTACTTCCTCCTGGTTAAGCATATACTGTGGCTCAAATGCTTTCTACTTCCTGATATCCACTTTCTGTCTCTAGCTCATTACCAGCATTACCTTGGTTCTCTTTTTTATCTAGGTGGTTTTTGTGTCACTTTGGCCAGTCTCTAGTCCATGTCACTCAAGTGGTCATTGGCTACTTCATGATGCTGGCTGTAATGTCCTACAACATCTGGATTTTCCTCGGTGTGGTCCTGGGCTCGGCTGTGGGCTACTACCTGGCCTACCCACTTCTCCGCCTGGTTTAGCTGGTGAAGGATTTGCAGGCACTCAGGGCTGGAGGGAGCTGGGCACCTTCTTCCAGGCATTGCACTTCAGTGGATTTTTCTCCTGGTGGCCATTCCTCACCTCCTTTTCAGCTCCTGGCAAATTGGAGCTGAAGCCAGCACTTGTTCCCTGGAGTTCAGAGGCCACTGAAGCCACCCTCTCCTCGGCCAGCCTGCACAGGGCCTGGGCCTATTCTGGTGCCTTAAGAAGGCTGCTGTGACCAATGGAGAAAGAAAGCAGAGACTACAGCCTGGGGACAGGGTTGCTGAGCCTAGACACATCCCTGTGATGCAGGAATAAGAATTTCCAAAGGTCTTCAGGACAGGGAGGTGGGATCTGGGTGAGGAAGGCCACAGAACCTGGAAACCCTCTCTCTGCTTTGTGCCTTATCGACAGGAGCATCTTTCTGGACTTCTGTCTTTGGGGGACAGAGACCAAAATAGCTCCTTTTTCTGACCTTCGTGCCTTTGGAACACATAGTTTGTCCACATGATCCACAAAATAGACTAAGACTTTTACATTTTTCCCACTGAACTCCTGATTAGCACTTTTGCACACTCATACAAAACAAAGTTTTTCAAAGAAATTATTTCATCTTATTCATGATGGAAGGCAGCAACCGCTGAGACCTGCCTCCCTTTCTTGGGGAGAGAATAAGTGACAACTGATTAAAGGCGGCTGGTTTGTCCTCTGGATGGACTGAGCTCCTTCCACCCGACGGCACTGCCCACAGGGGAGGGTAATCTAATGGCCAAGGTGTCTGGGAGTGCCTCATGGCCTCAATTCCCCCCCCCCCTTTTAATATGGATCCTCTTTTATCACTTACTGCCCACTCATAGAGACCTGTGGGGAAACACAATTCAGTCACTGAAAATACAGGTTAAGCCTAAGGGGACATTGACTGGATGCAGGGAGCAGTCAAACCAAAGCCAGTGCATTTTTAGTTAGACAAACTCTGGATATTTTAACCTCTTCACTTTACAGAAAAGAAAATCTTTTTATCAATTTACAGGGAGAGAAAATCGCTGCTGTGGACTATAATGCCCATGTTCAAGTACCTCACAGGCTAGATGAAAAGATGTCTTAAGCTTTGGGAATTAAAAACAATTACATTTTAATAAATACATATTTTTAAACAGTCAGTGACTCTGTCCTCAGTCCAGCAGTAAGCACACATACCCCTTTTGACAACAAGGGGGAGGGGGCATGTGCAGAGGGAGGGGGCATGGAGCTGGAGGTGCATCCGTATGACTGACTGAGGACTGAAGAAGACAACTCTGTGCTTAAGAAAATGAGCCCTGAAACACTGTGCCCACAGGTAGGCACCCAGAATGTCAACTTGGTCAACATTCATTTGTTCATGTGACAGACATGAATCAGGTACCTGCTATAAAAAAAGTAACTGTCACCCAGAATGTAAACACTGTGAAGATTAATAATAGCACCTTTTCTCTCTGAGGGCAGAAGCAAAAATATAATGACCATTTTTAACTTACAATAAGAAATAATTGTCAGAAATTATGTGCCACATCTAGGGTTGCTTGGTGGCTTCTCCTCATGCATGCAAGGAGCTGGAAGCTGCCCAGGGCCTCAAAGATATATGATTTTGAATGTCCTCTGCAATGCCAATAGAGCCTCCTCCATCCATCATTAGGTCCTGACCCTCTAAGGCTCCCTCCCCTGGAAAGAACGTTCTCTGATTTTAAATGTTTATGAGATAGGAATCTGAACTTCATAGGTGATCAGTGAACTCCTCGTTGGATAGTTGTTTTAAACATGGTGATTCATTTTAGGATTTTCTAGCAGAGAGAACTTTTAAAATTTTCCTACTCTTTGCTCTTCAGAGTGATTCAACAGACAATCCGTTGCTCTCATGTCAACGGCCTTTAGAGCCAAGTCACAAAAGGTGACAAGAGTCCCTATTTACAGTTTAAATAGTTTAACAAACACACAAGTGCTTATTATGTGCCTGGCAGTGTTTTAAGCACTTTATACAAATATTAGCTCATTTAATTCTCACAGCAAGGTAGAGACTACTTCTCTCTTCATCTTAGAGACAGGGAAGCAGAAACAGAAAAAGGCATCCAGTTTAAAAGTGGCAGAGCCAGGACTTAGATTCTGAGTTTGTTTCTTCAGTTCAGCTGAGGGGGCTGAAGCCAAAAGGGTAGGAGTAACTTGGCCAAAACACGCAGAACTCATGGGACAAGAAAATACATTCAGACTGTGAAGACTCTATACTCTTTTGTATTCTAACATAACAGGATGGGAATTCTAAGGAGATCTGGGGTGGGGCCCAGGACATGGATTTCTAACAGGCATCACTGGCTCCTTCCTCTCAATCCAGTGACTATCAGGCAAGGGTGGTGGCGCAGAGCCCAGGCTCTTAAATCAGACAGCCAGGATTTGAATTCTTGTTCTGCAGATCACTACCTGTGCATTTGGACAAGTTACTTTACCTCCCAAAGCCTCCATTTTCTCCTGTAGAAAATGGGGATAACAGCATCTCTACAATGGTTGCTGGATATAAGACCATCTGTGTCAGTTGCTCCCCCACCCAGGGACACCTGTTAAGTAACAAAATACTTGGGCTTTATTGCTGCCTCCCAGGTCCCCACATGGCAGATGACCCAGAGTTAGAGTTCAGATTCCTATCTCATAAACACTTAAAATCAGAGAATGTTCTTTCTTAAAATTATTATACTTCTTGAAGACTGTCTGCATGGTCTTTGGAAGATCCCAGAATAAATATAATGACTATAAAGATTTTCTAATTACTCTTTTCTACACTAGTCCTGGTCCTCTGAGTTCAGAGGAAATGAAGCTGCTCTTAAAGCGAAGAATCCCTCAGGTGCCGTGGACGTTAAGAATGAAGGGTCCTCCAACCTTCTGCATGGCTTCTGAGGCTGTAGGACTGAGCCTGCAGGAATAAGCAACAGGCTAGTCCTCAGCAAACCACAATGCCCTGAGCCTCACGCAGCTGGACAGCAGAGTGGTGCTTTTCTTTGAAGGCCTAAAAGTTCCAGGGTTAGGTGCCACAGGGAATATGCCACAGTGCTTTGTGCACATTGACTCACCCAGTCACAGCTCCTATCCTTAGATTTCCAGACAGCACCACAAGAAATCCCTTAGAGCCACACTCAGTTACTCCCCAAGGGCCCGAGTCAAGATTCTTTAGAGATATTTATTTTAGTTTGGTTAATTTCAAATATTCATTGACCTCTTGTATAAGATTAAGGCAGAGATAAAAGATAACATGTCCTTGGACCACAGGCCAGACTGCTAACTGAACTGGGATCAAGATGGTGTGATCTCCTCTTAGTTTTCCAGGGAGACCTCTCCCCAGGTGATAGGTCTTGTTGCTGGGGCACAGTTGAGCCCTGGGAGGCAGATGGAAGGGGTTCTTGGGTTAGTCTGAGAGTGACTGAAGAGAAAAGAAAGCTTGGAAGAGGGCAGGACTCTTGTAGGTGACTAGCTGGAGCCTCTCAATCCTTCTTCCAACTGGGACTTGAAGGCAGGACCACAATGGGCTGCTCAAAATACCAGTTCTGAAAACAGGGTCACGATCCTCTTTGCCAGGTCAGGTGTGGGACTCAGAAGGTAGCCAGCTAACTCCGACATCTGAACTACTGTCCTCAGAATGCTCACCTTGACCTCACCCTGTGGTTTGCCTAGACCCAGGGCTGGCTGTGCAAAATCATGCTTAGGGAGGGGCTGGAGGAGAAACTGTGCGCCAGCTTCCTGGGTCTTCATCCCAGCCAGTCATTGTCATCATCATCACCGTCATCTCCAAAAAGGGGTGTTGGGGGTGGGCGTCCCTTCATGCTCTGACAAAACAGGAAAGAGTAGTCAGTCCTCACTTGTCCCTACCCCACCGGACCTCCCACCTGTGAGGTGAAGTGGTCCAGCGTCTGTCCCCAGCTCCAGATTGGAAAGGAGGTGTGCTGGAAAGAGGCCTGCGGCCAGTGAACCCTGACTTCCAGGTAAAGCTGAGACAAGCAGGTAGAGAGGGAAGCCGGCTTCCAACAGAGACAAAAAGACCAACTGTATTTGGCTACTTCTGTCATTTATTTGGGAAGCATATGATTTGACAGATTTTTCTCTCATGTGGTAACATACATTTTGTGTGAAGAAAAAAGGGTCACAGAGGAAGATGGAAGTGGGAGAAAGAAACAGAAGCAGAGCAGCCCGACGGAGGAGAGAAGATTCAGGAAGATGACGAAAGGTCACACTGGAAAACAAAGTTGTTGTGACCTAAGGTAGCAAGACTGGTTCTGGATGTGACCTTACCCTTTGAAAATGAGATGAGTTTAATTTAGATGCTTGGCTACATTCCCAAGAGATGAAGAAAGCCCAGGAACACAGGATCCAGCTTCCCACAACCCTATTCTCCCTCATCCCACTGACCAGGTAAGGGATACAGGAAATTAAGGTGGCTAGCTTGATCTTACATGTCCTCCAAAGGCCCGTGTGTTAAAAGCTTAGTCCTCAGCTTGGTGCTATTTGGAGTGTGGAAACTTTAAGACACAGGGTCTAACAAGAGGACTTGGGTGACTGGAAGTGTGCCCCCCTGAAGGGCATGGTGGGACCCATCCCCTCCTTCCTCCTCTCTCTCACTTCCTGACCATGAGTGAATGGTTTTGTTCTTCCACATACTCCTGCTATGAGGTGCTGCCTCACTACAGGTCCAAAAGCAATGGGCCAATTGGTCATGAACTAAAACTTCTGAAACTGTGAGCTAAGATAAACCTTTTCTTTTTATAAGCTGATTACCTAAGACTTCAGCTATGGTATCACAAAAGGCCATGGAGGGGGGACTCTCCCCCCTTTTCATGACTTGGGCTCCTGACCTTTTTCCTCTGGGTTAGCAGGGAACAGGTCCCATGGGGGCCGTAGGGATTGATGTTAGAGACAGGCATAAATTGAATTGTCTCCACTAATGTCCTTTCTGCTCTGTGAGCTGACCAGGATCTCTTCACAGAAGCCTGGCTAACAGGAGGCAGCGTGGTGTGCAGAGGCCTCTGGGCTAGTCCACTGTCCAGCTACCAACAGACCTTGTGCTTTTCTCTGAGTATCAACTGAGTGATCGCTATAAAAAATCTGACAGTATAAGATTTTTAAATGTAGCTCACCACTTCTGCTTTTTTCTGACTAAGGTTCTGATTCTACATTTCCCGACCACATAAGATAAGCTATATTATTTAATAATCCTGAGCCTCAGTCTTCTGATCTAGAAGAAATGGGATAAGATGCCTACTTCACTGCATTAGTTGAGGATTAAATGAGACAGTGAAGTAGTGTTCAGCATACACAAGAAATAGCTGCTAACTTGATGATACTTGCATTAATACCAATAACATACTACTAATTTAAAAATTCCAACTATATTTAGGACAGTCCCTTGGAATATGCATTTTTTCCCTTTTATCCTCCCTCTTTCTTTTTAGTGCAGAATTTGTATACAGCATTCTCAGATGAGAATCTAAGTCTTGGGCAGAAAACCTATTGGGAGGAAGTAGTGCACTTCCCCTGAAGGCAGGCAGGCAAGATGGAAGTGCTCTGGTATGTATGAGCTGGACCCCAGATCTGTCACTGCTTTTTGGCAAAAGGCAAAACCCACTCTGGATGATACACGAGGGGATAAATCTTGCCCCATTCAACCTGTATTTCGGTCCCTGGAAACATGGACTCAATCTGAAGCTCATCTCTGTTCACCATACACATTTCATGGCAGTGAAATTCTCATCACTGCAGTCAAAATGGCCTAGTGAGCACCAGAAGCATTTACCCTATCAAAACAGGGAACGGCAGATGCAGGAGCTGGGCTCCAGTAGTGCTCTGTCAGCAGTTTGCCCTGCCGCCCTTCATTCTCACGCTCCACAGAGCAAGGCCATGTTGTCAGTACTGGCCCACCTGCTGCCCGGGAGTGTTGTGATGACAAAACAAAGCAGCTGGCTGGAAGCAGGCCAGTGAGCAAAGGTGCTCAGAAACAGGTGGCCTAACCCAGAGCCTGGGGATTGAGCCCTCTCTCTACCATCAACTGCTTTGGTGGCTTTAGGTAAGTCATTCTTTTGAACCCAGTTTGTTTATGAATAAGGATGCCCAAAAAGATAATCTTCAAAGTCCCCCCACCCCCACAATTCTAAAACATAAATAACATCCTAGCTGATGTAGGGAAACCTGAGGTTTCAGCACAACAATGCAGGACTAAGCAGCTCAGCTTTCCTCACTTCAAGGGGGACTAATTCCCATGTGGATAGAGTTATGTTCTCGCTCAAGAGTAAAGGGGTATCTGACTGTCCCCACCGTGCTTACCGAGCTGCCCTCTCCCTACCCCAAGCCTGCTCCCACAGGGCCCTGCACACAGTGTCCAGGGAGTGGGCCACCAACAAACTCCATTTCTCTTCTCTGAGCCAGTGGGGAAGGGCCCCCAGGTGGTGGTGTGAGGACTTGGCAGGGCCTGGGACTTCCTTACCACCTCATCTTCATCCTCCTCCTCTGGCTGTGCTTTGGTCCTTGGAACTTTCAGAGTTGCCCCTTGAAACAGTTCATCCTCTTCATCCCCAGAGACACTAAAGGAAAATCAAATCACAGAAGATGTTGCTGTTCCTGCTCCTGGCCATAGTGCCCACCAGCTATGAAGGTCACGGGCTGCAAGGTGAGAATCACTCAGTAACACCTCCCTTCTCCACTTCAGTGTCTCCTCCCATAGCCTGCAGTGGCCTCTCTGTAGCCTACAGCCCTAGTGGACTCCTAAAGCTAATAAATCAGACCACATTGCTCTTCTGCCTAAATCCCTTAATGGTTTCTCACTATATTTCCATAAAATCCAAACTTTTAACAATAACATAAAATCTCAAGTATAGCCCCTATTTAGTTTTCCAATCTCAGCTTAACACCATTCACCTTTTACTTTCTGTGTCTTCTTTTACTTCCTTGATTATGGCATGTCCCCTCCCACCACAGGGCCTTGGCATATATGACTCTCTTGGCAATCTCTCCTTCCTGCTCTTGGTATGGATGGCTCCTTTCCATTTTCAGATCTCAGTTTAAATGTTACCTTCTCAGAATCCTTCCCTAACCACCCTATGTAATGTAGAATGTGCCCTCTTTATTCTTTCTTATAATCCCTGTTTCTTTCTCTCTCTCTTTTTTTAGCACTTACCCTACCTTTATAATATGTAAAAACATATCTCTTGGTCTTTGCCAACCAAACTGTAAGCTTTTGAACTCATGAACCACATCTGCCTTGCCTACACACTATCCTCGTGCCCACCACCGAGCCCTGTGCATGTGCTAAGTGTTGTTGAATAAATACACGAATGAATGAATGAATGAGCAAACTAGTCAATGTCTGAAGAATGAGTTGACGGCCATGGAAAAAACAGACACCACTTCCATTGGTAGCCATTCCCTGACACTGTGCTCAGAGGAACATACCTGGAATGCTGAGAGCCATGGTTGGGTCTGAGTGCTGTTCCTGCAGCTGTAGAGCCTAGTGGCTCCTCAAAGGGACCAGCAGGGCTGGTGACATCCTCATCATCATTGAGCTGTGGAGGCTGGGGCTCTCCTGGGCTTTCAGGCCCTAAGGCTGGTGGGTCCCCCTTCTCTGGGTCTAGAGTCAGTGATGGTCTCCTGGAGGTTTCTTGAGGTGGGCCATCTGGAGCTGTCCCAACATGCACCTTTCCTGCTGTGTTGTCGGACCTGGCTGTCATTGGGCCAGCAACAGGTGTCTCCTCGAACTCAGAGTTCATAGGTACAGGGCCTGGAGGCTTAGGTGGAATCGAAGTTGGGGGTCCCAGAACTCTGTGAGATGGGGTACAGGCCGGTTTGGGTGGGAGGAAACCATCTTCGAACTCTGAAAGCACCTCTGTATCCGGCTCCCCTTTCCTTCTCTCTACACTGTCCTCAGGTGTGGAGAGAACCTGTGGAGGCGATGGAGTGACCTCTTCCATTACCTGCTCTGACAGCACCACGGTGGCCTCCTGCCCCTCCGCACTCGTGGGTGGGGAACACAGCCCAGACGTGGCTGGGGCTGACTGCTCCTGGGAGGGTCGAAGAGGCTGCTCATCTTCCTCACTGCTGCTGTCTCCCTTCTCTTGCTCCTGCTGGCTCAACAGCTGTAAAGTCACCATCTGTTCAAAACCCGAGGGGAGGAGATGGTCACTAAAAGGAAAATAGCAAGCACTACATATCCTCAGTCCTCATTAACACAGCTGTCACCTAGTTCAAATGACTCTGCCTCTCTAAGTTAGAAGGCGCTGGACACATCCATCCAGGCACGATCGCTCCAGTCATCCCCATTCCTGGTCAACAGTCTTGACTGAATTTTTAGTCATGATCTCATAGAAGGTAGTTAATCAACAAAAACCCCACTCCAATGGAACAGTCACCAGCGGGACGGCTGTACCTTGATTGTATTCATGATGGTCCCCAGAATGGTCCTGCCATCGTAAGATTCCTCCAGCTCAAACTCACCCCGCAATGACTGGAACACCTGGTTCATAATCTTCTTGACCTGTTTGGAAATCAAACATACGTGCTGCCAAAACTAAGTCATTAAGAGATACATTAAAATCCCAGAGAGGCGTTTGGAAGGCTCAAATGAAGCCATCTTAGAACAGTACAGAGGAACACAGCTGGTCGTGAATGGAGACCTTGAGAGCTACGGCCATGGAGAAGACACTATCAAATAACAAACATACCTTGACAGAAGGACCAGCCATGAGAGTTCCCTACCGAGGGCAGGCAAACTATGGCCTGCCTGAGACTGTTTAAAAATCACTTACTGATACCTCTCTCCCACCCTGAGCCCCACTGAGAGATGCCAAGGGCTGCAAGGATGAGTGGCTAATGGCTACTGGGCACACTCCCACCCTCTATTCTTCTGTGATTTGGAGGCACTTCCCATAGCCATTAAAGTGTCAGAAGGACAGGGCCTTTAGAGTTTGCCATCAGGGTGGTAAATTCTAAAGAGTTAATTTTTAAATCAGACAAGTAGTGTACCACTAAAGTTAGAAGAACGCTACCAAGATAACTTGTTGGCCACATGCTTTCTGAATGCCTGCTATGTACATCTGATTCCTTAATATAACACTATCTGCTGCTTCTCTGAAATACCAGCTCACCTTCTCTGAGGGGTCAGCAGCAGCTTCAACCCCAGATATCTGGGACTTGTTCTTCTCCTGTTCCTTGATGTGCTGTTCATTTTGCTCTGTGAGGGCTGTGACTTGGGCCTGGAGGGCTAAGCACTGCAAAATGAACAGACTGCAGCTGTGGCCTTGGGCTACTATGTGAAGGTAAGGAAACACAAGCAGAGGTGAACCATCCAAAGCACCATGTCTTCACCTTACATAGGTCTGCTGGGAGCACCCCTGTCCCCTGTCACCCCACCCCCCATTTACTGATGCAGAGCATTCTATTTCTTTATCACTCAACTCATAATTTTCCCAGCAAGGTCACTTGACCTGCTCCTAATCAGGTCAAAGAATATAATGAAAAGGAGAGGAGGTGGTAATAACTCCAGGCACATACACATAAACTCTCAGCATTAGAAACAGCCTATTCACCTACAGGATAGCCTCCAAAATCTCTTGAGTCAAAGGCTTTAGACCAGATACTCAAGGGGAAAAAACTGACCTCCAGATACGGGACTTTCAGACCATGACCCTAAGCCATCTCTCTCATTTTCATGCCTTACAATCCAACGTACCCAAACTCCATCCCATCTCGGTGCCTTTGCCCAGGATGTCCCGCTTCCTTCTCTGCCTTACCACATCTACTAGTTCTTGGCTCTACTCAAAGGTCATCTCCTCTGGAAAGCCTGCCAGATCCCCAAGCTCTTCCTCTTCTGGGCCCCATGACACTTAATGCATGTCTTTATTTCTCTATCTTGACTATGAGAGTCTTGAGGGTAAAATTCTTTGCATGCCCTTTCTCTAACACAGTGGCTATGACACAACTGATACTCAATAAATATTTGCTTTAAAAAAATGAAGGATCAAATAATAATGGGAAACATGTTCCAGAACACTAGTGCTATTTTTCTTTTTTCAGGTCACTAACCTGTCACCTCATATAAGTATGTAAATAATAACTGGAAAATTGGAGAGTTACCCTCACATGGTTTTGTTTTTTATTAATATCCAAAAGGACTGACAGGACTTAAAAGCCTGCTGGCCTCCAGTTAACTGAGCTGCTTCAGCGCCCTGGCCCAGGGAAAGCAGCTACCTTTTCTTGAAGGCGTGTTAGCTTCTGCTGGTGGGCATCCCTCTGTGCGCACACTTCCTGGTACTGCTGCAGGTGCTCTTCCTTTGCGGAGGCCAACAGATGCTCACACTTTGCTTCCCACTGAGTTTGTAGATCAGCCTGCAGAGACAGCTGCCAAGAGAAAGCAATGACCAAGCCCTGGGGGTCCCCACTGAACCAAGGGAAGTCCATCCTCCATAAAGTAAAAGACTACACCAAACAGACTTCATCAAGAAACAACTATTTGAAAGACCTTTATTCCTTTTTTTTTTTTTTACACTGGTGACTGAATCCAGGGGTGCTATACCAATGAACTATGTCCCTAGGCCCCCACTCTTTTTTTTTTAATTTTGAGGCAGGGTCTTACTAAGTTGCTGAAGGCCTCACTAACTGCTGAGCCTGGACTTGAACTTGTGATCCTTCTACCTCAGCCTCCATAGTGCTAGGATTACAGACATATACCACCATGCCCAGTCAAGACCATAATTACTTTTAAAATAAATGTGCTTTTTAAATGGAGGAAGGCAGATGTCACTGGTTGTCAGGACTCCAAAAGGTACTCCAACCAGACAAAGGTGTGACTGTCCAGATAGGTTCCCTGGGAGGCAGGGCCATAATGAGGTCATTACTTTTCAGGGTTTGGACCCTGAAGTTAATAGGTTCAGAAACTTTTTTTTTTTTTTTTTTGCCATTTCCAGACATGATCAGATTGAGGGCACCAATACATTCTAGTTAGAGAGATATGCACATACAGATTTTAAAAATGCAGTGAGAAATGTAAATGTCAAAGGGACTAGAGATCAGCTTGTCCTGCCACTATCCCTAGTTTCCCTTCCTGGTTACCTAAATAAATCCTGTTTTTTTTTCAAGGATAATAATGTGCCTGAAGGATGACATCTGGCACTTGAGAACTTTGCATGTTGGGAATTTTTTTGTAGTTTTTTTTTTTCATGTTTTAATTACATAATTATATATTAACTAAACATGAAAGAAGCTGAGTTCACTAGTGCATGCCTATAATCCCAGAGGTTGGGAGGTTGAGGCAAAAGAATGGTAAATTCAAAGTCAGCCTCAGCGAGGCCCTAAGCAACTTACTGAGGCTCTTCTCAAAATAAAAAATTTAAAAAAGAGCTGGGGATGTGGCTCATGGTTAAGTGCCCCTGGGTTCAATCCCTGATAAAAATAATAATAATAAATAATAAAATAAAATAAGACAGGAAAGTACAGGGGCTGGGGTTTTATCTCAGTGGTGGAGTACTTGTCTTACATTTATGAGGCGCTGGGTTCGATCATTAGCACCACATAAAAATAAATAAAATAAAGGTATTGTGTCCATCTACAACTAAAAATATTAAAAAAAAAAAAAAGAACACTCTACATTTAAACCTGGCTTTCTTGCATATATTTGGATTATCTTTTTCTACCTTTCTTCAAGGTGAGAATAACAATTGTGTGAAGTTCATCCTAGAGAATAGGGAAGAAACTAAGAGCTTTTCTTCGTGTCCTCACACCTTCCTTTTCTTTCCCAGTGCTTCTGCTTCCCACTACCTGCTCTGCAGCTGCTTGGTCTGTGGACACTCGGGCCTTTTTCAAGAGCTGTCGAAGTTTGTCCAGTTCCTCCTGGTGCGACTTGCGAATCTCATCCATCTCCTCCTCGGCCTGGCAGCGCTCTTGAGCTGACTTTTTTTTCCTTTCTGAGAGGTTCTTGGGAACAAGAAAAACACCATCAGCTCTACCCAGTTAACACAGGATAAGTGGGGATGGGGAAGGTGCTCTTGACCTTGATGAGTCTGTATTCCATTTCTGAAAATTGTTCATTTTTTAGTTTAGTTTTTCCCCTTTATTTTTAACATTCTTAGCTACTGAGAAAAAAACTGTGATGAGAAGGCAAACAAGAGTTCTATCTACCACTCTATCAAGCATTAGGGAATATCCTAACAGTTAGAAACAATGTGTGATCCTGCCACATTGTTTTCTGTATGCATAAAACATACATATATGGGTGGCATTTAATTAGGAGCTTATGTTCAATGCTTTCTAAGAAAGTATTGTGGACATTATGCTACATAGGAATGAAATCTTTCTCATTCTATTTAAACTATTGAGGGTATAGGAAAGCAGACTTCTCACACCTTGCCCATGGGAACATAAATGTTTATGCTCTTTAGATGGCAATCCAAGGAAAAGTTTTCAAAAATATGCATATCCAGAAATTCCACAAATTTCAATTTATCTTAAAGATGCAGTAAGTCATGTTCACAAAGACTATAGTAGTGTTTATAACAAGGAAAAACTGAAAACAGTCAAAAAATCAAAAGAAACAGTTTTTAAAATGCCTAAACTGAAAAATCATAGAAGAAACTATAAACATAGGCCAAGATCTTTTCCCTAAAAAGGAAATGGGCCAAAACAAACTTACTAGTGGCTTTACTGGTACCTCGGGAAAAGACTTTTTTCCTTTTATGTTAGATTATTCTAGAACACAATATGAGATAGAAATCTTTCCATTTTGTTCAGTGGGCCTAGTAGTTCCCTGATATTACAATTTTAACTAACAAAAGATAAGGAATAAACAAAGTTAAAAGAGAACAAACTGGAAAAATGTTTGTAATATTTTGACCGACAAAGAATTGATACCCTTAATAGGATTTACAAATCAAAGTAATGTTCTAATAGGAAAAATGGTAAAATGAAGGACATTAAAAAGAGAATTAACAGAAGAAATGCAAATAGGTATAAATATATGAAAGCTTTACTATTAATAAAAATACAGAGCAAACAAGATGGTATATTCCACCTGTGAGGCTAATAAAGATTAGATAAAGTGGTGTCCTCAGAGTTGGGAGGAATGTGAAGAAATGGGCTCACTCACTTAGGGCTGGAAGAGTTCGCAGCATACTGTTTTCTAAGAATAATCAATATTGATAAAAAATATTTGGATGTGCCACATTCCTACTGATCCCATATTCTAATTCAAGCAATCCATCCTTCAAGAACACCCACGTAAATTCGCAAAGGTAGTTAGTAGTTATACAGAAGAAGGATATGCACAGAAGCTTAAAATAGTGAAAAAATAGAAACATACATTTGCTGATAGTAAATAATCATATACATTGTGGGACAGTCTCACAGTAACTACTATGTGGTAGTTTTACTATGTGTTAGTTTAAATAGAATGAGAAAGATCTCATTCTCATGTAGCACAATGTCCACAATACTTTCTTAGAAAGCATTGAACATAAGCTCCTAATTTAAATGCTACCTATATATGTATGTTTAAGTGAGTATGTATGTTTTATGCATACAGAAAACAATGTGGGAGGATCACACATTGTTTATAGCTGTTACATGTAACACATGAGATGAGCCAGGGGACAAAAGCAAATTTTTCATTTTATACTTTTCTATATTAATGTACTTGTTCTATTGGATACAAACTATTATAGTTTTTAAAAGGAAAATAAAAACAGATAAACAGCTCATCCTGGCCACCTGGACACAAGAGAGAAACTTGGCTTTTGGAACCTACCTTTTCCAGGGACTCTTTCTCAGCTCTTAGATCAGTCAACTCCTCCTCCAGGGAGGTCACCTTGAGTTCCAGTTGCCTCCGGTTCTGCTTTTCACTTTTGAATTTGGACTGTGCTTGCTCTGAGGTTTCCTGGAGCTCTGGAATGTAAGAGCAGAGGGACCTGGCTGCAGACCCTGAGCTACAGTGGGTGATGTGGCATTCCAGTAGTTCTTTCAAAGCTGCAGGCTTTGGTCTCCCCATCCCACCACACAAGCAACCTCCTCTAACACCTCAGCATTACCACAGTGACCTGTGATATGAATTATCAAGCCACCAATCCACATTCACCTGGAGCGAGTTATACCTATCTCTCTCTCTCTCTCTCTCTCTATATATATATATATATATATAATCTCACCTTCTACAGATGTAGAATGGAAAAGAAATGTTCTAGTCAGGGACGACCTTCAAAACTGATCAGTCCTATAATTCCATTTCTGTCCCCATCTTACCACACTGGACAGATGTTTGTTTAATATCTGTTCAAACTGCTTCTCATTGCCTAGGTAAGAGAGTCTGAACTTTCCCAGTAGGACACTCCACCAAAAGTTTGCTTTTAAAACATCCCTTCTCAAGTAAGGCTTTTGGATATTTTTTTAAATTTATTGCACCAAAATTTCTCTCTTTGAAAAACTTCTGAGACTCTACAGCTCCTGAGAAAATGGTCAAAGGGCAAGCACCACAAAACCAGAAATGAGATATCTGTATGATATTCAAATCTCAGATTGTCTAACACATTTGCTTTACTGGGCCCTGGTGATGCTCTAAAATGGAAGGGATGTATCTTTAAGGTATCGTTTTGCCAACTGACACCAGTGCTTTCTATCTATTAGGCAGTGTTCTGTGCTTCCATCCAACTCTGCTGTGGTCCCAGCTACCTGTTGCCTGGTGGTCCCATCTGTGCATTCCACACTGCTTTCTATACACCAAGGTAGATGTGTCAATGTGCTGGTCTTCACCAATCTATCCGATCACCATGTCCTGTGCACTACTTTTGTGCCAGGCACTGAACTAACGCTTACTTGAGGAAAGGACTTTACAAAAATGAGCAAAACACCATCCTTGCCCTCTAGGGGTTTGCATTCTGGATGGGAGAACAGACATATAAATGGTACTTATCAAAAGCTAACTATGAAAATGGTTATAATAATGCATTAAGAGTTAAAAGATTTTAAAGGAAAAGATTTGATGTTCTAGTAAAAAAAACTGGAAAATATTCCAAAAGAGGCAGAATAGAAGAGGACTGGAGGCAAATACTGATGAAGGTGGGCAAACCAGGCCCAGAGAACAGCATGAATAAAGAGCAAGATGGAATGAGCTGAAAATAGCCAGCACGCTGGGGTGTACGGTAGGACAAGGACGAACTGGGCAAGATAATGGAAAACGAGCCACACAGAGGGGCGTTGAGTGTCAGGCTGAAGAGTTGCAACCCTCCTCTAGGAAGGAGGAACTAAAACAGGAAGCACACCTTTCTTAAATGTCCACTGAGTCATGAATTAGAAAGACACATTAATTCTTCTCGGCATATGAGGCCAGTATAAGCACCAAAGTTGTTGAAGCAACACTTCCTCAAACAAAGTGGAACAGTGACAACTGATCAATTCCAAATTAATAGAGTCAATCCTTCTGTTGTCCTTTATGTAAAATAATCATGTAGGTCATATACTTTACCTCGATTACTGACTCAGTCCTTCGCAAATCTCCTAAGCATTATGTCAACAGGACTGAGAGGAAGGAAAGAGTTCCATTTCTTAAGTTTAAGTGGCAAATAGTGCCAGCATCCTCGGCCAAGAACATACCTGAGAGCTCTGCCTGCAGTTTGGCAAGCTGGCCCCGAAGTAGACCGGCCTCCTTCAAGCTTTCTGCCAGCTGCATCTGCAGCTCTGTTTCCTTCTTTTGATGTGTAGTCATTTTCAGCTGCAGGTGAGAGACCTGTGCAGTGGCTGCTGCTAACTCTTCTGTCACCTTGGCCTGAACAGTAACAAAGGATGATGTCACTTAAAACACAGGTGTTTTTTGTCTCCTTAAGAAATGACTAACCTCACGGGACTAGGCAGATTAAGCTGTAGAAAGGAAGGGAGCTAAGGCTACCCTCAACCTGCTTTACGCCCAAATCAAGACTTAAAAATGTGCAGTCTCTGACTCAATTCTCTTGCAGAAATTTGCTCTTAAAAAATATCACCAAGGCTGGGCATGGTGGCACAGGACTGTAATCCCAGAGGTTTGGGAGGCTAAGGCAGGAGGACTGCGAGTTCAAAGCCAGCCTCAGCAATATAGTGAGGCCCTAAGCAACACGGCGAGACCCTGTCTCTTAAGTACACTACAAAAAAGGGCTGGGGATGTGGCTTGGTAGTTAAACACCCCTGAGTTCAATCCTTGGTATCAAAAAACAAAACAAAAAAAAAATTACAAAAATTTTGCTCTAAAGCTGTTCAATGCAGCATTGTTTAAAGTTGTAAAGGAATGGAAATCTAACATAAATTGCTGAAAACAAACTTGATTAAGCAAATTATGATATATCCATCCTGTACGAGGCTATTAAAAATGGTGTTTGAAAAGAATACTTGACGGCATGGAATACAGTTACAATCTATTGTTAAATGAAAAAGTAGATTCTCAAATAGTATGTTAGATATAATTCTGTTTTTATAAAATGAACACTTACTTACTCATGTGAAGAACAGTGCCAGAATAAAATGTTTTTCAGTTAATCTAGATAAAATGATGGGTGTTTTATATTTTCTTCTTACTTATCAGATGATATATTTTATAAATGAGTCTCTTGAAAAGATGTTTCATAAGTAATTCTTTTGAAAATTTAATGTTTCTGCTGATCAAAATTTTAAAAGATATAAAAAGTAAACAACAAGAAGTCTTCCTATCCCTATTCACTTCTGCTTTGCTATGCAAGGGTAAAATATAAAAATTTATTTTGCATCTTTCCCCTTTGTGTAAAGTAACTCTTTTTACAAAAACTAATATGATTCTTTCCTCCTTTTTTCATACAAAAGAGAGGGCAAACTATATATATTCTCTACTAGTATATGTGGATCTTTCTCCTTTGTCTTTTTTTTTTTAATTTGTCAATAGACCTTTATTTTATTTATTTATTTATTTATTTATTTATTTATTTATGTGCAGTGCTGAGAATCAAACCCAGTGCCTCACACATGCTAGGCAAGTGCTCCATCACTGAGCCACAAACCCAGCCCTCATTTTTCTTTTTTTAAAAAAATATCTATATGGTATTCTACCATGTGAATATACTGTAGTTTATTCACTACTGCAGGACACTTGGTTGTTTCCAGCCTTTTCCCATTACACAAGATACCAGTGAATAATCCCGGACACATGTCATTTCATTTGTTTACAGGAGTGCCTTTAGGGGATTCCCAGATGCAGAACTGATAATTTTGTACAATATCATCAGTTCCCCTCCATGAGCCACTCTACATGCTTACCCATCTCACCAAACCTTTGAATTTCTACAAATCTGAAAAATGAAAACTGGTGTTCATGCTATTATCTAACTTTTCTAGGATGAACATGCATTTTCTTAGAAAGAAAAGGATATTTTTAAAATCTAAATTGAATACCTTCAAAAGCATTCAACTTCTGAGTCTACAATTCCTCCTAGGAACACTTTAACTTCCCTGACTTTTTCAAGTATTTTAAATGGGGCTCTATACTAGCCAAACATGGACCAAGCCTATAAAGAATCTAAATACTCTTGAGCAACATGTGATGAAATGGAAATGACCATCCTGGAAAACTCTCTAATGCTATTCTGAATATTAAGGTTGATGATAACAATGATGATAAAAAGGATGGTCAATAAAAAAGAAACAGCCAACAAAGGACAGATACCACATCCACTTCACCTGAACTGATGTGTTCTTACAACATACAGAGGAATCAGATGGCATGAAAGGCAGTAAGTGGTTGATCTTGGGCAACCAGTCTTGATTTCTGTACATCTATGTATTTCTGCACATGTTTTCTATTGGACCATCTCTCTCATAATATTATATTGCTACTACTAGTACTACTCCTATGTTACTACACTTTATACACATTTTTGCAGTTGTCTGCTTTCTTACTATCATTTGTGCTTTCTTGCGGTGTTCACTGTGCCCACCTGTTTTAAAAGTGCTTATTCCTTGACTTATCCCAAAATCTTTACCAGCTTTCTAGTTCCCATTTAAAATCTGACATTCTGACTTTCCTAAAGGCAAGGGAAATAAAACAAAACTGTATATGAAATTTTAAAAGGCTATGAATGAGCATTTCAGAGCACATATAACCTTTAGAGTAAGCTCAAGATACTTAATTTTGCTTTTTGGAAGCCATGTAAAACTCAGCCATGAAGAAAAATGACATTATAACATTTGCTGGTAAATGGATGGAACTGAGACAATGCTAAGTGAAATAGGCCAGTCCCAAAAAGTTGAAGGTCAAATGCAGAAGCTAATCCAAAATGGGAAGGAAGGGAGATTAAAAAAATAAGAAATAAAAAGGAAAAAAAGGGGGGGGGGAGGAATTTAATCAAAACAAAGGAAAGACCAGTAGAGTAGATGAAGGGGATTGAGGAGGGAAGAAGAGATGGGAAAAGGGAAGAGCAGTGGAATGATGACTGAACTTTAGTGTGTGCATGGATGTGGGTCTAACATCGGGTGTATCCTCAGGACACTAATTAAAAACAAAAAAAAGTAAACTGTAAATGGATTCAAAAGGGATTGGTGGAGTGGAGGGAGGACTGAATCAGAACAGGTTGGGTTCCATGCTTTGGTGATTATGTCAAGATGGATCCTGGTATTGTACCATAACTACAAAGAATTTTTTTTATACGAGAGGAAAAAAAACCCCACAGATGACAATGGCATCTAGAACTCCCAGATGTAAGAGTTGTTTTCATCTGCCCCATGTACAATTAAGTTTCACTTGCTGGCCCATGAAAACTGAAGAGACACAGAGTCCAGAGGCTTTGCATCTATTCACGGCTCAAAGAGTTCACTAATATCAGAGCAAGTATCACTCTCACAAGACCTTGCAGCAGCTAGGACCCGTGGGAGGGACAAATTTCAGAAAAGAGGTCATGGAATGGATAGTTGCTGTCTTGCCAAAGGACAAGCAGAGTGGAAGGTCATGCAAATACTTTTTTTCTCTCAGGTCTTTAGCTAGAAAAGCCTACTAGAAACAAAAAAAAAATTAATACTTTCACCCAAAAACATATGCACATGCACAAAGAGAACTATAATATATTAACAATGGTTATGTTTGAGTGGAAGGATTATGAGTGATTCACCTTTTATATTTGCTTATCTATATTTCCTAAGTTTTCTGGAATAAACAGATGCAACTTTTATTATTAGACAAAAAGTATATGTTGATACCTGTGAATGTATTGTGTGTGTGTGTGTGTATGTATTTACATGTTATGGTTTGGGTATGAGGCATTCCCAAAAGTTCCTGTGTTAAGGCAAGAGGTGAAATGATTAGATCATGAGACCTGTGACCTAATCAGTCCATCCCATTTGAATGGACTAACTGGGTTATAACTACAGGCAGGTGGGGCATGGCTGAAGGAGGTGGGTCATTGGGGGAATGTCCTGGAAGGGTGCATCTTCCTTGCAGCCTCTCCCCTGGCTTCCCCACTTCCCCTTGCTTCCTAGCTGCCATGATTGGAACAGCTCTCCTCTGCCACGACGTTCTGCCTCACTTGGGGCCAGAGAGATGGAGTTGGCCAACCATGGACTGAACTTCTGAAACGATGAGCCAAAACAAACTTCTCTTCTTCTAAGTTGTTCTTGCCAGGTATTTTGGTTGCAGAAACAAAAAGCTGACTAACACATTGTATATATAATTACACTTTTAAAAATGTCAGGAGAAGCAATATCAAATGAGAAAGGAAAACAACAGACACCTACGCAGTGGATGGGATGGCTCCCTGATTCCCACCCTGGACCAAATTCCGCTGCTGGTGTGGAGAGCTGGGAAAGAGAAATGACAGCAAGAGCCAAGAGCTGAGAAAAACAGTAGAAAAGCATTCAAGTTAGAAGCAGGAAAACAGTCCTGGAGAGAGAGGGAATCTGGCATAGGAAAAAACGACACAACTGACTGGGAGGGAGATCCTGAACAAGTCTTACCCTCTCTGGGCCTCAGTTTGTCCCCTTGTAACTAAGAAGATTTAACTAGAAGACCTGCAATAGGTCTTCTGGTTTTAACCATTATTCCATGTTTTATGTGAACTCTACTATAGAGAAAAATAATATATTTATTCATTGATCACTTAACCATATCTTTTGAGCTGTGTTTGAAGGTAGAGAACTGCATCCAGCGGTGAAAGGAAATTGATTATCTCTGTTTAAGAGGAGAGATCACTGGGTGACTCAATTAAAAGAAAAAAAAAATGGGTGAATCAAGACTTAAAAAGTTTCACTGAAATAATAGTGACCATGTGAAGCCTGTGGTACCTGAAACCCTAGTCAGATACCCTAATCATCAAGAACAATGATACTTAGCTCAGGAGATTCCCTCAAATACATCCGCGTAAAGTATGGGACCTAGAGCCTAGTGGATGTTTTCCAGGGGTTAGCTGTGCCCCCTGTTGTTATGACTACTACTGTTTTTGCTACTATAAACAGACATCTACTGGGTTCAATACACTGTCCCAGACATCTTTGAGGTTTAGCAACATGAAAACACTTGGGCAGATTATTCAGGGCTCAGAGGACTATGTATGACCTGTAGGTCAAACTGGCCTACTGCCTATTTTTGTAGATAAAGTTTTATTGGAATACATACACACACACACACACACAACTGATGTTCAATATGAGTTGTGAGTCATGTGTTGAACTTTTTTTTTTTTTAGTAGTATTTGGACACAATACCTTTATTTATTTTTATGTGGTGCTGAGAATCAAATCCAGGACCTCGCATGTGCTAGGCAAGCGCTCTACCACTGAGCCCCAGCCCCAGTCCCATGAGTTGAATTTTGAAAAGCAAAGGCAGTCCAGAAGCCAAGTGTGAGGGCACATGCCTGTAATCCCAGCTACTTGGGAAGCTGAGGCAAAAGGATCACTGGACTCCATGAGTCTGTTTGACATCAGTGTGGGCAACATAGTGAGATCTTGAAAAACAAAAACAAAAGCAAGCCAGGTGCAGTGGAGCACACCTGTAATCCCAGCAACTTGGGAGGCTGAGGCAGGAGGATCATAAGTTTGAGGCCAGCCTCAGCAATTTAGCAAGGGCCTAAACAACTTAGTGAGACCTTATCTCAAAACTTTAAAAAATGAACAAATAAAAAGAAAGGGTCCTGAAGATACAGCTCAGTGGTAAAGTGACACTGGAGTCAATCCCTAATACCAAAAAACCAAACAAAAACCAAAACCAAATTTATGCAGCTACCACTTCCAGAGTCTGTGACAAAAGAAGTGAATCCTGTACCTGGGTAGAAAAGTTATGGATAACTCTTTTTTTAAAAAGTTAAATCTTGGCTGGATATACTAAATTAGAATTTCTGGAGGTAGGTCTTAAGAATATGTCATTCTAATGAAGCTCCCCAAGTGATTCTGAAGCAGCCAGCACACTGGAGAGCCATTTCTCTACAACAAGTTATAGTAACCATTTTTGCCCTAAACAGTGATAGTGAGGACAAACAAGATATCTGGATGTCCATATTGGGCCTAAAGGGGGAGTAAAAAAAGAAAATTAAAAAATAGAAGGAAGAAGAAAAGGGAAATAAAAAATAAAAGCAGTGAAAGGAGAAACAGTACAAAGTACAAGGTGAAGTGATTCCAGTACCACCTGATATGAATGTCACAGGTTGCCCACCTGGATCTAGGCATTAACAGTCAGCCACAGCAAACAAGGGAGGTAGCAAAGGAGCACCCGAACTGGATAGGGCTGTGCAGGGCAAGGCACTGCTTATCTGAGGAGGAGGGGTCAAAGACCTGGGTACTGTGGCTAAGCACACACAAAGATTAGCATAAGACATTAATGAAGGAATCTTTATCATTATCAAAATATAAGAAAGTGAGTGAACTCCACAAGTTATAAAGTGCATTCCCAGCATTTCATATTTTTAAGGAAAACTCAAATATAAATATGAACTTATTTCTTCAAACCCTTGAGAAAAATAGGAAAAAAAAAAAAAAAAGGGTTGAGCTCTCCTAGCATAGAAGTGATGTCCCAAATAAGAAGGATAAAATGTGTCACTGGAGCAAGGAGACTGGGCCCCAGAATCAGTTGATTCCAACCCAAGACCAACTAGGGTCCTCCACACTACTCCAGAAACAAGTCAAAATTCCTCATTCTGAAAGAAGTGAAGTCACAGCAGCCCTTTGCAATGCAAAACCAGAGGAAGGAACAAGCTGAACACACAGCAAGGAGCAAGTAGACAGTCTCCAATCCATTAAATACCACCTACACATTTGTTACCTGGCATTACAGGAATTTTCTGTTGATCCTTTAAAGAATAAATTTAGTCTCTTTCTCTCTTTCCCTCTTCTCTCCTCTTCCCTCCCTCTCCCTCCTTTCCTCCCCACTGTCTTTTCTTTCTCTCTTTTTGGCACCAAGGATTGAACCCAGAATGTTTTGCCATTGAGCTTCATCCCAGTCACTAAGTTGCCAAGTTGCTGGCCTTGAATTTGTGACCCCACTGCCTCAGCCTCCTGAGTAACTGGGATTACAGGTATGAGCCACCATGCCCGGCTTAAATTTAGTTTTTAACAAGTTATGTAATGCTTACTTTAATCAAATCACTAAGAAGTGATTGTTTTTTTGTTTTGTTTTGTTTGAGACAGGATCTTGCTATGTTGTCTAGGCAGGCCTCAAACTCCTGAGCTCAAGGCCAGCCTCCCAAGCAGCTGGGACAATAGGCATCTGTCACCACCTGGCCAATAACTATTTCTGAGTCAACTTATTGCAAAGCACATTATAAAACAGAAATGCAGATGATGACTGTATGATAATCTGTTGGAAGATTTTTAGTTCTCTTCCCCAAAATGGTGAATATTCTGCTGAGAAGCCACCTGGTAAATACCTACACTGGGCCACCCCTCGCTCAACACATCCCAACCTGGGCTTTTCTCTGCTCAGTTAATTTACCTTCTCTTGTTCAGCATGCAATACCCTTGCCTGTGTGTTTTCTGTGGCTGTTTGAAGTGAGTTGTTCCTCTTCTCCATCATCAGGTTACTCTGCTCAACATACCTGTGATAGAAATAAGGAAAAGGAAACATTTATGAAGCACTGAATGTATGCCAGGCACAACCCAAAGCACATTCAGTCCTTACAACACTGCTCTGCGCCTTCATCATAAACAATATCATGCATTTTATTTTCCTTAGATTTGCAGTAATCGGTTGGAGGCAGCAACAAACTGGGCCAGAGGTGAATTGTTCTGTATAATGAAGAGGAGAGGAATTTGAAGAGTATGCAGAAATGGGGAATGAGGACAGAAAGAGACAAGATAAGGAGGCTGCAAGAAAGAGAAGAAAAGAAAGGCACTCTTCCAACCCTGTCATGTGGGAAGCAAGCAACACTGGAAAAGAGAAATACAGGAGAATTTTTTTTTTTTAAGTGAAATGCTGTGGTGTAACATATTTTCCTAGCCCCCCCCCCCCCGCCACCAATCCTCAGAAGGATCCATAAAAATTATAAAATGCTTGGGTTTTTTATGGGAATCGGTGAGGTACTGGTTCAGTTCTGGTTGATAAAACAGAGTCAGCCTGCATGGAAGAGAGAAAAGTTGACGTCAGAGTTTTCCAAATATTAACACCATTTTAGAGATGAGGAAACCAGGGCCCACTAGAATAAACAAAATGCCCAAAGTTACACAATAAATGAGGGCAGAGCCAGAAGCCAAACAGGTCTGTTTTATTTACCTCAGAGCCCACTGAGTTCTTTCTATTGAAAAAGAAAACTGGCAATAATCCATAGGACAGGCAGGAAACAAATAGAAGAAATAAGGCTGGGGGTGTGGGTCAGTGCTGCAGTGTGTGCATAGCAAGAGCAAGGCCCTGAGTTCAATCCCCAGCCAGCATTACCAAAAATACTGTCCTAAATAAACATGTGTATTAAATTGGGCGTTTATACATTAAATCCTTTTGTCCATCCTAGCCAGGCCCCATACCTGTCATTACCTCTGATTCCGTTCAATTAGTTCACTAATCTTGTCATTCTGTTCTTCTATCCGACTGCTCTTCTCAAGTAGCTCTTGCTTCAATCTTTCATTTTCCTACATTCAAAATGTATGATGTACAAGGTAAATATAAGAAAAGTGCCAGGTAAAAGGGAATCACCCTGAACAGACAGGTGACATTGATGACACATTTTGAGATGAAAAGCTAGAACCCATATCCACTCAGACATACTAATATTTAAAATAACACATCAAATTATACCCAATGTATACAAATAACTCCAATGGTTTAGATTATAAATGACTAAAAATGAAGAAAATTTTGAAATGGGGCCAAAAGCATTGTTTTCTTTTGAATCTAAGAAAGTAGAAGTCACTTGGACCAATTTAAGCCACAATGGATTCTCCAGAGTTTCCAAAACCAGCGTAGCACTTATTGCATGCTGGGGTGCAGGTTTTAGACAGCACATCTGGGGAGAGAGCATGGGCGGGACCTCCAGGAGTGTTCGTTCCCAAGCACCCTCACCTGAACGATTCTCTGAATGTTGCTCATGATCATGCTTGTTTCCATTGTCACTGACAGGCTAGGAATAAGCATGGAATTGCTAGCACCATGCTTCTGTAACTCTTCAACCTAAAAATGGGACGCCAGAAAGGCCGCATCAGAATGCTAAAAATAGAGAAATATAATTTACCCAAGATCTCACAACTTTTTTTGAACATGTTTCTGAGATAACCTGTAAATGTGAACAAGTTTTTCCTGCTAACTGGATCCCAAATAAAGATAATTATCCTTCCAGGAAAAGAACTAGTATCTACCATGAATATAGGAAAATTTACCTACAGCTCTGGTTACTCCTTGTTTATACCCCACTTGTACCCCCACTTTCAACCTAACCTCAACCCTGATTTGGTCACCTTAGTCATGAGATGATCCACTTTATCAGCCACTTTGCTGACTGCCATTCGAATCTCAGTGTTATGTTGCCGGGCTTCGGTCATAAGAAATGAAGCCATGTCACCTGATCCTAAACAGACATAAAGAAGCCCAAAAGAAACTTATGGGGAGACGAGCATGTAACCAAATCATTACAACAGAGTTCTTTCAATGCAAAAAAAAAAAAAAAAATGGACTATATACAATGTACAAAAGTGCACTTTAAAAAGCAAGATTATCCTTTGGTAATATTTATATTCAGTTGTGTCCCTGAGAAGAGAGGTGAATACCATCAGAGAAGGCTTCATAGAGGAGATGATAGTTTTGACATGTGAAAAAGGGTTTCCCATATGGAGAAGGGAAATGGCTCCCAGACAAGATCTGTATCCAGGAAGCTCTTACCACTCTGGAATCACAAGTTATACTGCAGGATATATTTGCTTCCTCCTACCACTGTCTTAATACCCAGATACTTACTAGGCAAAAGACAAATAGCAGTGGGACATGATGACATATGCCTATAATTCCAGCTACTTCTTGAGGCTAAAGCAGGAGGATCACAAATAAGTTGGAGGCCAGCCTCAGCAACTTAGTGAGACCCAGTCACACAAAAAAAGGACTGGGAATATAGCTCAGGTATAGCTACAAGGTCCAATCCCCAGTACAAAAAAAAAAAAAAAAAAAAAAAGACAAACTGAAGAAAAGGGCAAGATACCGTCACATCTGTTTACAGTTCATTGTGCTTTATTTGTTCACACAAGACACCCACACCTGTACATACATACAAAATACCTGAAAAGTTACCCAAGTAACTGTTAGTTAACATTGGTTTCCTATAGCCAGGGGGATTTAATAATTGGAAAGAACAGTAACTTTTTACTTAATACCTTTTTGTACTGTTTGACATTTTTATAAAAGTATATTTGTGTGTGTGTGTGTGTGTGTGTGTGTGTGTGTACACATATATATTTTTTGTACCAGGGATTGATCCCAGGGGTGCTTAACCACTGAGCCACATCCCAGCCCTTTTTTTATATATATTTTATTTAGAAACAAGATTTTGCTGAATTGCTTAGGACCTCACTCAGTTGCTGAGGACCTCACTAAGTTGCTGAGGTTCGCTTTGAACTTTCAATCCTCCAGTCACAGACTTTGGAGCCATGGGGATTACAGGTGTGCATGACCACGCCTGGCTAAAAGTATATTATTTTGATAATTTAAAAGTTACCGAAGTAGGTTTCACTTGAGTTACTGAACACCCACAAGCAGGCATCATGCTTTCTCCCAGTTTCCTCCTGTGTTTGCTCTTTTACTGTTTTCTACAAACTCTAGCCACTCTAACAGGAATTAGAAGGGCTGGTGGGAGAAAATGCAAGAAACAAAACACAGGAAGTAGGCCTGAGGGGATTTTCTGGAGATGAAGGAAATGTTTAAAAAGTGAACTGGGGGGGGGGGGGGTGGGGGGCTGGGGTTGTGGCTCTTGCCTGGCTCATGAAAGGCACTGGGTTCAATCCTCAGTACCACATAAAAATAAATAACAGTATTATGTCCATCTACAACTAAAAATGTATATATATATATATATATATATTTTTTTTTTTGTGGTGCTGGGGATTGAACCCAGGGCATAAAAATAATAATAATAAAAAACAAAAAAAGACTGTGGTGATAGATGCACAACTCTGAAAACATCCTCAAAAAATCTTTAAATTGTACACTTAAAATAAATGAATTGCATGGTATGTAAATAACACCTCAACAAAGCTGCTAAAAAGGGAAGAGAAAAGAAAGGGTAGAAGGTTGTTGGAGTGAAAATGAAAACAGAATGCAAACAAGAACATGGAGCATGGTGGGGCAGAAGATGAGCCACAGGAAACAGCTCCCTACCTTGAAAGTGGGGAGCCTGGGACAGTGGTGCTGGATACAAGGGTCGAACAGGCTGCAGCTGGGAGGTGACTGCGGATGCCTGGGGATATGTGTAGGCTTGCATACCTGCACAGGGCTGAGAGAGGGCCAAGTTACTGCCACTTTATGAAACATTCATGTCTTCTTTTTTTCCTTACAATTTCCTATGATTGAATAAAGATAAGCTGGGAGGAGACTCAAACTTATTGAAGCTGGAAATGAATGCAATCAAGTTTAGACAGTGGGCAAGAATTGAAGCAGAGCTGTCTATGGAATCCAGTAGCCTCCACCCACAAATTGAGAGGTGAGTATCCTGGGTCATCACCCAGTCCTCTGTGATGATTGAAGAAAGTAGGAATTCATTCCCCGCCTTCAGGCCTATCTATTGCTTAACAAATTTTAAAACTAAGCAAGCTCTTTTTAGTTTTCATTGAAGAAAAAGGAGAAGTGTTCACTGAAATTCCAAACCAAATCAGCCAACTTCCAAAGGATGCCTCTCCCCTGCTAGATTCTGATGCTCATCTGTGTGACCAAGAGCTCTCATTTTCCTCTAAACCTCAGCTGAGAGATGAAGATAATAATATGACTTCACAAGGTTGTTATGTGGACTAAATGAAGTGATACAGGTAAAGTTCCTAATAGCTGGTAAATCAAGTGCCTCAATAAACAGCAACTACCATTTTTAATGAGGACAGTTATTCTTCCTCAAAAAAGGAAATCCAGCTCATTTTCAGGGATAGCCATGACTACCCACCCATTATTTAAACAAAAAAAAAAAAAAATTTTTTTTCCTCTGTGAGATAGTAATTCTCCATTGAAGGGAGAATGGGATTTTTCTTTTTTTCAGTTTTGATACTATCAGTGCCACCCCTCCATTAAGAATCCCAAGGAAGTAGCCCCTATGTCATAGGGAGGCTATTTTATTCAAGTGTGCTATGAAGAAAGAGTCTATATACAACCCCAGTAAACAGCAGAAGCAGACAGGCTGTTGTCCCTGTCTTTTGTGATAACAAAAGAAAATCTAATTTAAGAGACCACTTTTGGAGGCTCACTAGACATAGCGATATTTTCTGTACAGCTTCCACCCTTAGCTGTGCAGAATATTAGCGACCTGAGCATTGTGCAGAATATTAGCAACCAACTCTTTGAAAGAAAAGAACACAGAGGGCATGGATACACACCACTTGACTAGAGATGAGTGAAAAGGAGAGGAAACATACATTGCACCTTTGCCACGTGCACTGATTGAACCTTTGCTACAAGCACCAGGCCCTGTACTGGTGTTTGGCTTGCTCTTGTACTGAATCTTCACAAGAAGGTGTAAGCAGGTAATTCTTTGGCCAGTTTAGAGAAGAATAGGTTATGAAAATAACAACTTACAATTACTATAGTTTTAAAATGTCGTTACCTGAAAGGACTGGGCATTTCCAGACACAGTTGAGTGGGAATCAAGAGATGCAACTTGCATTAAGGCAGCGGAGGGTGCTTGGAGCCCAGAAACAGATGCCTGAGGGGCTAAGATGAAGCAAGACATTTTCACTGTTAGCCACTCTTATTCTTGGTACAAAGGCAGACTAGTACCTTCCAGACCCCCATGCTTCAGACTTGACTACTTCCTCACCTAATCTTCGAAAACAAACTCCACGGTGTCCCAGCAATGGGCCAGTGGAAGGAAACTGGGTGTTCTCTTGTGTTTTTGACTCAGACCTATGATCCCGTCAGCTGACAGGATATACACAATAACACACGGGCAGATGTCTCAACAGCTGAGTGCACACTTCCAAAGCTGACAATGCAATGCAGCACAAGTCACAATAAGAAGGTCAAACACATCTCTGGGTCTGAAATGCCTTACCCAGGGACCAAAAGACAAGAGTTATGCTCCAGCTCGTTCAAAAACAATGCAGTCTAACTATTTAAGGAACTGTGATGATAATTTTCATGCTGACCCAATTCAAGAGCACAGAGCCTCAGAGAAGTCCCTTTCTTACCCTGTGTAGTCATCTGTGGTAACGCTGGATGAGCAGGCTGAAGAGAGGGCTGCACGGATGGAGTCACCAGGGGCTGTCCAGCTCCTCGCTGAGTAGTCACATCCTGAAATGGGCACGAGGTCTGATCACTACATGTGGGTCCTTAACTGAAGACTGAGGCTGACTGTCTGCCCTAAACCTGCTTCTAGTATAGGGTTTCCAGGCAAAGAAGAGGAAGGAAAGGCAAGCAGAAAGCCAGAAGCTAGCATGTGGGTTGTGGAGAGGAAGCACTCAATTACGCAATAGAGGAAGAGCTCTTCTCCATGAAAATCATAGCAAATAATTAAATCCAGTTAATTTCCACAAACATTCTATGTTGTTGATATTTTGGTGTCTGAAGCAGCCAAACTGACAGCTCTGCAAAATGTATCATTTCTCAAAACAACAGATACCTTGACTGATCTAGTCTACAACAGAGAGGTCTATTATGAGAAACCCCCAAACAATCCAGCCTCTCCTCTTCTGCCACATAATCTTCAGAGGCCTCAAGCATCCAGTGAAAATTGTATAGAGTAGGATTCAATTGACCTTCCTTAACATGCTGGTTTGGGGTAATATAATTTTACACTGTTTCCTCATTCTTTCTTTTTATAAAACCAAAACTATAAATGAAGTTATCTTACATCTTCCTGCTTCATACAAGGAATGAAAAATCGCAAAAACTACTGCAATGCTGTAGTTCATGGGCTGAAATCTCTTGGTCATTCTTTTACTTTAGAACTTCCTCTCACCCCCTGATAGCCTTCTGGAAAAGCATCCTGGTTTTAGATCATTACACCTCTAAATCAACCTAAATGCCTAATGCAGGAAAAAGGAATTAGGATAAATCAATATTGTAGAACTCTGGGTTACCTTTAAAGGCAATAATGCTTTGCTTTATTTATTTATATTATAGATATTAATAAAGATATTTACAACATTACATTAAAAAATTAGGTTGCAGGGGCTGAGGCTGTGCTCAGTGGTAGAGTACTCGCCTAGCACGTGTAAGGCGCTAGGTTTGATCCTCGGCACCACATAAAAATAAATAAAATAAAGATATTGTGTACAACTACAACTAAAAAAAATTTTTTTAAATCAGGTTGCACAGCAATTTATAAAGAATACCTTTTTGTTAAATGTGATTTTCTTTATAATTTTAAATTATTCTACAACAAATAAGTAGCACTTTAAATTTTTAATAAGAATATCATATTATTCAAATTTCATTTCCAGAAACCAAATAAACCATAAGAAAACAATATACCTCAGAATCCTCTCTTCTTTTAAAATGTTAAACTCTAAGTAAGAGCTTGCTCAGGAAAAAACAAAATTATAAAAAATAAAGCTTATTTCATACATTTTTTTCTTGAGCATTGTCTCTTCTTCATTTTACATCAAAGAGAAAGAATCCTAGAAATCAATCTCATGTATTTCAACTTAATTAGAAAGGATGGTTTTATTCAATAAGGAGCTTCACCACTGGCAAAAGAATTAAGTTGAAATTAAGTTATTTCATATCATACATCAAATTCTAAGTAGACTAAAAATGCAAATCTAAATGTGAAAAAACAAACAGTTCTAAAAAACGTGATGTTTCTAATATCTGAAAGCCCACTAACCATGTCAGAAGCAAAAAACAAGAAGAGAAAATCGATAGATATGATCTCAAAATTCTTGAACTTCTACATAGAAAAATACACAAATACCAAATACAAAGTCAAAAGAGTTAAGAATTTGACCTTTAAGTAATAGGCAGCTCCAGTGGGAAGACCAACATTTCCCAAAAGTATCTAAACATTCAACCTACCAATATGAATTGAGCACCTGTTTTAGGTTAGGCATCCTTGGGCATCCCACTACCTAATGACTGATCTTGACAGACAACAGAGATTCTAGCAAATGAAGGCTTATTTAGCTACTTTACACTGCCCATATCTTGTGAAGATATATGGAATTACTTCATTTCTCAGGGGAAATATTAATCAGATTTGAAACATATGTACCAATACCAATCTGTATCATTTTGCAGATAAACTCTCTTAAATATTCTGGATTAGAGGCCCAAAATGCAATCATTTCAACCAAAGGAACAAAATGGCAACATTTGTACTATTGGTTTCAATACAGCCAAGGGGACATACTTCAATTTCTGAGTCATTGGAATCTAGCTGTGGTGGAAGAATGGGCAGCATGGGTTGGCCCATTTTAGCCATCCGAGAGATCAACTTGGCCTTGACTGTATCAGGATTCTAAAAAGAAAAAGTCATACAAATCATTGTGATTAAGGTTTCTTATCTTCAGACGGCTCTATTTCTTTCTTTCAGTTTTTTTTTTTTTAGTTATACATAACATTAGGATTCATTTTGACATAAATATAAAAGCATGAAATATAAATTTGCTCTAATTAAGTTTCCAGTACTTCCTTTTTCCCTCCCCTCTTCCCTCCCCCTGTTCTCCTCCCTCCACTCTATTAATATTTCTAGGAAGCTCTATTTCTTTGGCTCTTACATCAAATCCTTTAACAAGTCCCCCTCCTATATCTAATTTCCACTAGAAAATAAGAATCAAAGATGAGTACGTAAAAGCTTATAATAGTAAAAATCATTCCCTACATGTTTGTATGGACAGAATGACTTCAGAGTATTACCTCTTTTTAACCAAGTCTCCTGATCAGGCACAATTACTCTCATTTTACGATGAAAAACTAAGGCAGTGATATTAAGGGAGAGAGGCATTTTAGATGTTAGGACCCCTTCAAAAGTATGAAGCCATTCAATAAATAGATATTTGGAAAAGATTTATGGAAAACAGCAAACAGGAGCTCTTTGTTCTAAATTCAGGCTCATTTAACCCTAACTTGGCTTGACTATATACTAGACCCTGTGCTAGACGCTTCTATATCCACTAACTGGCTCAAAGTACTGCCTTTAGAATGGAGAGTATGTTCCCCTGAAGCTAAAAAAGATGGATCTCCTGGGGGAAGAAAGAAATCGTCACAGCTTTCTCTTTTATTATTTTTTAGCTATAAACATCGGACATTGTTTGTTTACAGGAATTAATAGTACTTTTAAGTGTACATTCTGTTGCTAGACATATTCAGGATTGTGTGCTCATTTTTTCTTAACCAATGAAGGTACATAATTATTTTTAAGGTATCTAAGAATATTAACTGGTAAAGGGTAAGTGTTCAAAGATGAGCCAAGTTCCACTGCTGTCTTCAGGAAGTATATGCTTGACAGTTATAAATTCAGTGAGAAACCTATTCTACATAGACATAGGCAGGTGTTTATCAAAAATCTAACTAGGTTTAAATTCTGAAAGCAGACCCTTCAGATAAGTAAGCCTCCTGATACTTTTTCAATTTTAAAAAACTTCCCACCGCTGGGTGCAATGGCACACGCCTGTAATCCCAGCAACTCAGGAGATTGAGGCAGGAGGATCACAAGTTCAAAGCCAGCCTTAGCAACTTAGTGAGGCCCTATGCAATTTAGCAAGATCCTGTCTCAAAGAATAAAAAAACAAAAGGGACGGGGATATGGCTTAATGGTTAAGCACCCCTGGGTTCAATCCCCAGTACCAGAAAAACAAAACAAAACACCAAATAACAACAATAAATACTTAATAGATGATGAAGACATACATCTACTTGGCTCTGGGTGATGCCAAAGTTCAAATTGCTCCCCTTCTCTAACATAGATTCTGAGTCTCTCGGCCTTTCCTTGGTGATGAATAGCAAGTAGCCCATTTCCCCAGATGCTCTTTAATAACAATCGCACTGGTGTTTGAACTTGTAACTTTAAACACGTGTAATTAGGATTTGGGAGCTTCTGGAACCATGACCTTGACCCAGCCTCCCATAACAGTCTTTTTACTTTCTATTACACAACATGACATGGCAATAAAAGCAACAAACCACTTCGGCTTTTTCATTTCTGCAGAAGCTAAAGCCACTTCTCTAATATATAAAGGAGCAGGAAAGTTAATTTCCTGGGAGAGAATACACAGCTTGGTCCTGGCATTTTAGTACCCAAGAGAGCTGAGACAAGTCCATTGATCAAAACTCCACGTACAATCGTTTTTCCAAACTTGGTTTAGCAAAGTCTTCATTTAAATGCTAAGGATTGACATCTCCATTAATTCTGAAAAGGCAGCCATGTCCCTCTGTGTGAAGGCCCTGCTGAGTTCAGCCCAGTCCCCAACCCTCAAGTGCACATGCTGCAGGAGCTGTCTGCTCCGCACTGGTTGATTCAGGCAGAATCTCCTTTAAGTCCACCCTACCGAAGGCAATAGCTGGATATTACTGGGAACATCATTGGCATCCTCATATTTCACCCATGGGAGCTTCTACCCTGCTTCTGTTTCAAACTATGCTGCCACCAAAAAGTATTTTTGAGAGCAGAGGAAGGTTTCTGAAATTGAAGACTATTCAATCCAATACTAGTTCCCTACTATTACTAGATAACGCGAGGAGAAATGGAGAAATCTGAATCACCCTGAAAGCACACTTTTTGCCTGTCTAGGATCCTAACAGGGTCAAAGAACTGCACAATTTGACTAGACCACTGCTACGTATTCAAGATGGCTAACAAGGTCTTCTCTTCATAGGTCAGGACATCCAGAGGTAAGGCAGCACCAACCACCCCAAACAGATCCTTTAGGGCAGAAATAAGCAGCTGTTTGAACTGTGCAGCATTCAGACCAACTCCATGATCTTGAAATTCCAGGCAGACTTTCATGTAGTGGTACACAGAGGGATTTTTGTAAACTATTCTTTCATATGTGGTACCCAGTGCTGGCATCTTTTTCAGTGCTGATCACTGTCCATCTGACTAACTGCCCGTCTGGCTAGCCTGATGTCCCTTCTGACTCCTGTTGGCTGCAAGGATTCCCTAAGGCTTGGTGCTCCCACGTAGGAGCCAGAGCCTGGGTCCAGGAAATTCCTGGTGTGTTTACGTTTTGCTGCTCCCTGACCCCGGATGGAGGTACATAATTTAAAGTATGATACAATAAGAGAAGAGAGAAGACTAGTTATATAAACCATATCCACACAATGGAGTATCGTGATCTACATAATAAAAATAAATGAGGACGCCCTCTATGATACTATATGTAAAAAGCAAGGCACATAATATATATAGTTTGCTATTTTGTGTGTGAAAGAAGGGAGGAATAAAACATACATTTCCCTTTGGAAGAATATAAAAGAAGTTAGTAATAGCAGTTACCTAGGGGTATGAGATGGAATAGGGTAGATGGGAACAGGAATAGGAGTGAGTCCTTGCAATGTGTATCTCTTATAGTGTTCCGCTAACTTTGCCGTATGAGTTACCTGTTCAAAACAAAACAAAACAAAAAAATGTAAATGTAAACATAAAAAAAAAGATGGTTAATTTTATCTTATGTAAATTTTGCCTCGATTCAAAAGAACAAAGTTATGTCAAGTGTGGTGGCAAAATCCTGTAATCCCAGCTACTCAGGAGGCTGAGGCAGGAGGATTGCCAAGTTCCAGGCCTGTCTAGGCAATTTAGGGAGACCCTTTCTCAAAGTAAAAAACAGACATATAAAGGGAATATATGTAGCTCAGTGGTACAGTGCCCCTGAGTTCAATCCCTAAATACTGCAAAAACAAAAATAAAAAAAACAACAACAAAAATTCCACCAGAACAAAAGTACAAAAAACAGAAGAAAAAAAAAAAGCTGGAGATCATTAGTCTACCAGAAGTTACTGAAGAAATAGGTAATGAATAGCTGTGGCTAGAGAATACAATGGAATCCACAATGGACAATTTTCATGACTGTTCAAACAGCTGAGATTGGGCTGGGGTGGTGGCTCAGCGGTAGAGCACTCCCCTCACATGTGCGAGACCCTGGGTTCGATCCTCAGTACCACATAAAAATAAATAAGTGAAATAAAGGTATTGTGTCCAACTACAACTAAAAAATAAAAAAACATTTTAAAAAAACAGCTGAGATTATGATTATTTTTTTTTCTTCTGATTCTTTGATTTAGGCTTCAGATTTTATGAGATTACTGTTTACACATACTGTAACAACTATGTGCTTAATAATTTCTGCTTTGGGCTGAATATAAACTAGGGTTTGAGAGAACTGAAGCATCGACTTCACTCCATGTACCTATTTTTCCCCAATGTCCTAGGTGAAGGCCGAAGGGCTTTAGGATTTGAAGTGCTTCAGCCACCATGTGGCCACTTGTAGCACACTCAGAAGCCCCCCAACCAGGCAGGGCAGAGCATACTACCCTACGTGCCCTTCCTGAGGGCATTTGAATCCACACTTTACTAAAATAGGGTGCTGGTCCTCTCAAATACACAAAGGCCAGGCACCTACTTAAAGACAACAGATCTGTGATGAGTCCCAAATTACTCTGAGAGAATTAAAATATGAAGATATAGTCACAGCAACTTCATAGACTAAGGCAGGAGGATCACGAGTGACATGTTTATTGACCTGTTACAGTATGCTATACACATATTAAATTTCCCTAAGCATTATTTTATTTAAAAATCATAAAAATCTCCAAGATTGGCAGTATCTTCATTTTACAGAGAAGGAAATAAACCTGAAGTTTAGAGAAGCTAAGTTGCTTAAGGTAACAGAAAGTAAGTAGCAGAGAAAGCCTACCATTAACCACTAATATATTCCTCTTTGAATAATGGTATTTTTTATTGCTCCAAATTTCTTTATTTTAAACTCATTGAAAGAAATACAATTATCTTTTAAAAATAGAGTAATCTCACAATTGAAAGCCAAGAACAAAAAGAACAATTTAGTAACTTTTTTCTGAGAGGCAGATCTAATTAGCTGTAGAATGGACTTTCCCTTTCCTAACTTTTGTCAAACAAAAAATTGTTTTTCCTATGAAGAGCTGATCTGCTCAAATGCTGCCAATACCATTCAAAAAGCACCCATCCCAGGAGACTTGGATCAGCCAGAAATTTATATACAGCTTAATTCCTAAACCACAGACCTGCCCACAAAGCAGATCAAATCCTAATGGTTCATAAGTAACACAGAGAAAAGTCGCTTTTTAATTCCCAAAGCTCTAAACTTAGTCATTCCCATAGATCATTTTACATTGATAAATCTATCAAACTAAAAACTTTCATTTTTTAACCACTTCAGTAAGATAGACAAGAGAATTGTTAGCATTTTCATTCTATGCATAATTGCTTACCTATGTTAAAGTTTTGATTCACACAGGTAATAGGAAAGCTTGAATCATTTTTTTTTAAGAAGTTAATGATGGTATTTCCAAAATTGAAGTGTACTTTAACCAATGGCCCCTCCCCCAATCTAATGTCATTCTCCTAATAATAATCATAGCTACCATTCTTAAAGATATGTTTCACATAGGTTCTGAGCTCAGAGCTTTACAAATATCTGTAGTCCTCAAAAGAACTGTACAAGGAAGCTACGAAAATTATTCCCATTTTCATAATAAAGAAGCTCAGGATGAAAGGATTTAAATATTTTTTAAGATCCCATGCTTATAAGAATCAATAGTTTTTCTTTTTCCCCCACATTTTTATTGATGCATTATAGTTATACATAATAAATATGTATAGTGTGGGATTTGTTGTTATATATTCATACATGCACACAATATAACAATATAATTTGACCAACATCATCAATACCTAGAATTTTCCCTTCCATCCCTCCTCACCTCCCATCTTCTGGTCCCTTTCCTCTATTATACTGATCTCCCTTCAATTTTTATGATTCCCTACTACCACCTTTCTTTTCCTTTCCCTCTTTAGCTTCCACATGTGGGAAAAAACATATGACTCTTGACCTTCTGAATTTGGCTTATTTCACTTAAAACAATGGTTCTATCCATTCTCCTGCAAATAACATAATTTCATTTTTCTTTATAGATGAATAAAACTCTATTGTGTGTGTGTGTGTATTTCTTTACTTTAAATTCACTGAAAGAAATAAAATTGTATTTAAAAAATAGGGATATAGATAGATACACACACACACACACACACACACACACACACATCTTTCTCCATCCATTCATTTGTTGATGGACAGATAGGCTAATTCCATAGTTTGACTATTATGAATTGTTCTGCTATAAACATGGGTATGCATGTATCATTATAGTATGATGACTTTAATTCTTTAGGATACATACTGAGGAGTGGTATAGATGGGTCATATGGTGGTTCCATATCTAGTCTTTTGAGGAACCTCCACACTGGTTGCACTAATTTGTAATCCCATCAACAGTGTGAAAGTGAAAAACCAAGATTTTAACTCTGTCTATGCAAAATCCCAAGCTAACTTACACTGACTTCCAAATAGGAGGAAATGAATAAAATAACCAATTTCAAACCAAAATCAAGGATTCACAACACTTTTTTCCCCTCTAACCTAGAAAACCCTAGGCACATGAAAAATGACAGTATTTTATAAGTCTACAGGTCATGATATTCTATTATGTGAATATGGTTTATATCACTAGTCCTCTCTCCTCTCTTAATGTATCAAACTTTTTTTAATATGTACCTCCATTAGTTCAGAAAAAATGAGCACACAATCCTGAATATGTCTATCAATAGAGTATACACATAAAAGTACTATTGGTTCCTGTAAACAAATTAATGTCTGATGTTTATAGCTGAAAAATAATAAAAGAGAAGGTTATGACTATTTCTTTCTTCTCCCAGGAGATCATCTTGTGTACCTTCAGGGGTATGAACTCTCTATTCTGAAGACAGTGCTTTGGATCAGTTAGTACAAACAAAGGCTTCTATCACAGGGTCTATGTATAATCAATGCCAAGTCAGAGTTAAATGGGCCTGACTCAGCACTGACATCCTAGAAATATGAAACCTCTACATGTGGGGGTTGAGGAAGATAAACTCTTTTACTTACTGTATTTATTGTAAGCTGTTCGCTGAGGGAGTTAGATTTGGTACGAAAAGCTGGCTCCCTGAAAGCAAAGAAAACATATGCTAAGATAAAAACAAAATCTATAATCACAAACCCAGATTATACTGGACAATCAAATTGTTTTTGAAAATGTTTGCCAACCTAACAGCTATAAAACAGAATTTTAAGCCAAGTATAATGGCACACGCCTATAATCCCAGTAACTCGTGGGGGGGCGGGGGTGGGTGGGTGTTGAGACAGGGGGATCACAAGTTCAAGACCAGCCTGGGGAACTCAGTGAGATTCTGTCTCAAAAATAAAAAACGCTGGTGATGTAGCTCAGTAGTAGAATGCCCCTGGGTTTAATCACCAATATTGAAACAACCCAGAATTGTAGCTCTTCTTTAGTTTGCATCATCTTTGAATGCTAGTGAAGATGAACAACTTCCCATTCAAATATTTATTATTTACATTTTTTCCCATGAGTATATGTTTTGTATTTATACTCCTTGCTCAATTTTCCTTCCAGGGTTTTGCAGGTACCATTATCTATGTGATTTAGTACTTCTACACTAAGGGGTACATATTCTCCATTCTGAAGACAGAAAATATATATATGTACACGGTATGTATTATATATATATTATATTCTATGACTATTAATACTTTGTCAGGAAATCTAATACAAACTCTTTCCCTGTTTCCCTGATCCCATTTGTCCAATTATTTTATAGTATTATAGTTTTTAACTATGTCCCTGTATCTGAACTCCTCTAGGAATCATTTTTACGAACACTAAAAGAGCTTAATTCAACCCTAGTGTCTTACGCTGATTTGAAAGGCACCGATGTGGGTGGTGACACAACAGGATCAGCAGAAAGGTTGTCAGCACCAGGTATGGGAGAAGGAGCCGCAGAATCCCGGGAACTAACACTGTGCCCATCAGAGCCAGAATCTCTGGCAAACTTCACCTAGGAAAGAACCAGCAAAGATGGAACAGGCTGCAGATCTTTTCCCCTCCACACACCTCTCATTTTTCTTATTCCTCAACACACAAGCCATCACCTGTTCATTATAGGCAAATCAGAAAATTTAGAAAAAAAGAAAAAGATAAAGTCACATTATCAACATATGTATATATTTACATTAGTATGCACATATCTATATCATATATGCATTTATATGTTCAGTACAAGAAGCAAGTTACAGAGGAATGTGGATGGTCACATACATGAGATTAGACCTCCCATACTCCTCTGTAACTTGCTTCTTGAATTTAACAATATATTTTGGCTGTTTTTTTTTAAAAGTCCCATAAAAAGTCTATTCTATGAAAAAAAGTAAAAAACAACCCTACAATTTAACCAATCTTTTAATGACACTTAGGTGGTTTCCAGTTTTTTATTATTACAACCATGTGTTAGAATAAGGAAAATATATATATATATATATATATATATATATATATATATATATACACACACACACACACACACACACACATACTCATGTAAATATGTAAATATATACATATATTGATAGGATAAATTTGTAGCCATTGAATCACTAAGTCAAAAGGTATGACATAGGGCAGGAACCATTATTTTATGGACAAAGAAGCTTAGTGTGAAAAAGTCATTTACTCAAAGTCACACCTCTCTAGACTTTGGATAGAGGGCCAGAAGAACATAAACCTTAGTCTTTAGATTCCAGAGCTATTGTTCTTTTTTTTTTCTTTATTTTGTTTATTTATTTTTATGTGGTGCTGAGGATTGAACCCAGTGCCTTACACATACTAAGTGAGCATTCTACCACTGAGGCACAACCCCAGTCCTCAACTTGCTTTTTTTAAAATATTTTTTTAGTTGTAGATGAATACACAGTATCTTTATTTATTTTTATGTGGTGCTGACGATCGAACCCAGTGCAGAGCTATTGTTCTTTGCATCTATTTCATTCTACTTTTTAAAAGAAATATGTTTCTTCAGAACCTTTAAACATATTCATTTAGTTATTCATCTTATTTAATAGAGGGCTTGTCAAACACAATACAGAACAGTTTAACTCACCCGCTTAAGCTCCACTTCAAACACCAGGATTGAGTCCATGGACTGAGTCCAGCCTATTACTCCTTCAGAACCAGCAGCACAGGCTGGAGGGATGAAAAGCAATCTCCTTCCTCCTTTTCTCATTCCCAGCATTCCATCCTCCCAGCCCTTTAGGAATAAAAGATGGGGAAAAGCTCATCAGACAAGAAACTCCTTGTAAAAGACAAAGTGAAGTACAGGAGCATCAGATTTCACTTATCCACTTTCAGGTTTAGGCTATGCTTCTAGAGGTCAAGTTCAACTATCCTCCATGTTGGTTATAAAAATATCTAGAATATAGCTTCTAAAATTATTAGTGAAAGTTGGCATATCTGGAGTTGGGTGAAATACACTTATCTTAGAAGCTAAGAGAAAAAATGGGAAGAATTAAATAGCAATAAGTGAGAAATAAAGGTTATTACTTATATATAAAAGTATGTTTTTCTAGGTATTGTGATTGTTTTACATGCATTATTTTGTTTATTCTCCCAAGTCTCATAAAATTGATAGCTTTATCCCCATCTTACATGTAAGAAACATGAGGGTTTTTTTAGGTTAAGTAACTAACACAAGATCATTCAGTAAATAAGCTGCTGAGCTGTATGATTCAACATGAGATCTGTATCACTTCCAGGATCATGTCATAACTACTACAGGAAAAAATCTCCAAAGAACTCTGGGAAAAGTGGTCATAAACGAAGCAATGGAGAAAAACATTTTGCCACATGGATGAGTGAGTACAGCAAACTGTATCACCATAAAATATTTGTAAATCAGTCTTTATTTTATAAAACACCTGCATAGTTGTTAAAGATAAAATTCACAGCTTGAACCCAGGTCTGAGATTCCAATCCTAGAGCTCCTTCTGCTATGTGGTGCTTGCAAAGCAAACCAGACAGATGAGAATCAACCCATTACCACACACTTCTAGAAGAAATAGTTTCACCTTTCCCTGTTAGGCTATAGGAAGGATGTAATAATTTTCTCAGAGTCACAGGATGAGAAAGAAAGGGTAGGAGTTACAGAAAACAAATGTATCCATCTTCAATATAGAGTCTCAGAGGTAAAAATCTCCAGGATGCAGATCACATAACAACTTTGTGCCTGCCTGCTATTCAACCAAGTGTTTTCATACCCTCAAAAGATATATCCAGGTCAGAATGCCACAAAATTTATTATGAATTCCAAAATATAGTTAGGCCTTTACCTTGATGACTTTTCCTGATCCTAATTTCAGGCGAAGCAACTTATCTTTGTTAGAAGTAGAGTCAAAAACCTGCAATTTAATTACAGCAAATGAGGTCAGCTAATTTCAAAAAATAATAACAATCATTAAGACATTCAACTACCATATCAGTACTTTCTGAATAGGGAATGTCAAATAAAACCGGAATATTTTCAGATTCTTAAAGAATCTGAAAAGATGGGACCACATAATGGCTAAAGGGCATTATCATAATCAGTATCTCAATGATAATGATATCCCGGATTAGGAAAAAAAATACATTTCTATCACCATGTATTTAAGCATCTTTCATCCATAAAGCATTTTCAAATAAATTATCTCATTTAATGTTGATGCCAATCCTGCTGGGTAAATAGAATAAGTAGCTCGTGAGCCTCCATTCACAAAAGAAAAAAGGAATTAAGAGCTTCAATAATTTGAGGTCAAATTAGGATAAAACTGGAACTTGTGTTCATATTTTTAAAGTAATAAAGTGATGATCCAAAGATCTTTGTTATATCACATTGCTTTTGATGGCTTCACAATATTAAAATACAAGCCCAACATATTTACTCTATCTGCTGTAAGAAAAACTATGAGGAGGGTCTAAAAAGTAAGACCTAATCCCATAAGAACACATTCAACTTAAAACTTGTGTGGGAGGACAAGACACACATGAACAACTGGCAAAAATAATACTTGAGAAACTGGTTTGTACTGACCTGTGTAGAAGAAAGTGGCACTGAGCAGATTTTACACATCATTTCATGAATGTGCCCCCAAAGCAGCTATAGTGACTAAAGCAGGGCTCCTGAAAGATTTCTTTTTGTGGAAGGTATTAGCAATTCACAGTACTAATACCTTCCACATGAATAGCTCTCATACTACCTAAGTTACTAAAGAATTTGCAGGGTACATTCTCTTACCTGGCCCAGCACATGATTCTGAAAGAGCCAGCCAGTATAAGCCACTTCCAAAGAATCTCCAACTTCCACAGCAGGGCCCTCTGCCACAATGAGGTCCTGAGTGAGCACTGCATCCAAGGAAGAGGTGCTATTGCACTTGGCAATGCCCACCTTCAAGACAAAAATCATAGCAGCATGAGTTTGGTTTAAACTCAATAAAGTATTCATTTAAATCATTATTGCCAATTCTCTTTCCAAGCAGCTGCATCCACTAGCATGTTTAGAAGTAAGCCATTCCAAAGTCAGTAATCTTGCCAGGAATCAAAATGCCTAAGAATATGGCATTCCAAAGTCAGTAATCTCTTCAAAAATCAAAGTGCCTAAGCAATTACCTTACAAATCCAGGTACTGTCAGTTCTTAACTCTGCTGTGGCAAAATAACTTAATCCCCATGTGCCCAAAGTACCCTTTGTAGAATAAAGAAAAAAAGCTTTGCCTACTTATAGGATGGTTATGAAAATGAAATGAGTTACAAGTAGGGTACTTGGCAGCACACCCGGAAAATGACAGTAAGTACTCTATAAACATTAGTTGTGATTACTATACTGATTTACTATGTCAGCATTAGGAACCTATGAAAGAAAGGGGAGTTTCTAAATAATTTCAAAAGGCACTTCTAAAGACAAAACAAAGTTGTATTCCCAGAACTCAAATCATCACCACTTACAGGCCTGGCTGTATTATCTTAGCATAAATCTTAAACAGAGAAGTCAGACACATCTTCGTGAATAATTATTCTATAGTCAATGTTTTAATATATCACACATTATAAACTTGCTACTCATTTTCTTTTAAAAAGTTTCATTATTGCAATCAGATAAATGCTAACTAAAATGATAGGATATAATCCTCTATCAAGTGACTAAGACAAAAAAGAAAAAAGATCATTCTAAATGCTACTGAAGACATAAAGAACTGGGATGGATGTGAAATAGTACAATCTTTCTGAGAAACACTGTGTTAGAGTGTGTTCAGAATTTGAAAATAATTTGTCGTTTTGACCCAATAATTCACTTCTGGAAATATGGAGGGAAAAAGAGGATACAGACTTATATTTTAGAAATGTTCACAATACATTATAGATTTATTTCAGAGGCTAAAAACAATCTAACTTCCTAAAAGCAAGGAAATGGTGAAGTAAATTCAGAAGCATCTAGTATGTACTAAACGTCTGTGTCCTCCCAAAATTCATTTGTTGAAATCCTAACCCCCAATGTAACAGTATTAGGAGATGGGACCTTCAGAAGGTGATTAAGTCATGAAATTAGAGCCCTTATAAATGGGTTAAGAGCCATTATGAAAGAGAGTCCAGAGCCAAATGGGGTGGCACACACCTGTAATCCCAAAGACTGAGGCAGGAGGATCACAAGTATGAGGCTAGGCTCAGCAACTTAATGAGACCCTGTCTCAAAATAAAAAGGGCTGAGGATGTAGCTCAATGGTAGAATGCCCCAGAGTTCAATCCCCAAACTCTAGTACCTCCAAAAAAAGAAAAAGAAAGAAAGAAATAAGAGGAAAAAAATGGGCAAGAGACCCCAAAAAACTCCCCTTTTTACAGCAAATTGCAACTCAGAAAAGGGCCCACCAAAACCCAACCATATTGAGACCCTGATCTTGTACTTCCAGCCTCCACAGTCATTAGAAATAATTTTCTTCTGTTCATAAAGCCATCCAGTCTACGGTACTTTGTTATAGTAGCCCAAATTGCCTAAGACAGTATCTTGATTCAGAAGGAGGAGGCAGATCACCGCAGCCTCTGTAACAAGAGCATTAATCCCATTCATGACTACAGAGCTCTCATAACCTAGTCACCTCCCAAAGATCCCACTTCCTAAAGGCCCCGCCTCCTAATACCAACACTTTGGTGGTTAAGTTTCAATATATGTTTTCTGGAGGGACGGACACATTTAAACCATATGCAGACAATATCCATATTTTGCAGCTTCAATAATGTTTCTAAACAATTTTTTCATGAGGTGGGAAATGATACTTTACATACTGCTAAATAAAATAAGCAAAATATGGAACTCTTAAAGAAGTACATCTACTATGTATATTAGGCATATATAAAGAGGAAACGACATAATGTTAATAGTAGTTACTTAGGGTAGTGAGATTATGAATGATTTTTTTAAATGCTTTTCTACATTTTCTATGATGAATATGCAATAATAAAACATTGTTTAAGATTTGTATTTATTCCTTAAGATAATTTATGTAGCAAAAATGTTTTAATTAAGTAAGCTTACATATTTAGCCTTTTTTTTATCTTAAAAAGACTCATCAGGCAATTTCAGTAAGTATTGCTATGATTTTCCTAAAATACAATAAGCTGAAGTGACAATTTTAGTGGGTTTCTTATGCTTGTCACTAGCAAGACAGCAGTTACAGGTTTACATATGTGAACCTAGAATTAAGGCAGACCCCAAACTAACACTCTGGCTTTGCACAGGAAAGAGTAATATAATATCACCTGTTTATTGAACTCCACAGCAGCCTTTTCCGACTCAAACATGATGGACCAGTTTTGTCGCTGGTCATCATAAAAGGTGCTATAGTTATTGGGGCGAACCTGGGAAATGAGAAATATTAAGATAATTCAACCACAAGCTGCATGGTAGGAAAGTCTGACTGCATAAACTCATAGAGAAGGATTCAACTTAGATAAACCCAAAGGGAGGAATCAGGGACCTTTCTTCTTCCTTCCCACCCTCCATCCACCATTCCTCAGCCCCCATTCCAGAAGGAAGCCAAGAGACCTTTCTGAAAGGCTCTGTTACGGATGTTCAGGGCTAAAGCAGTAGATCTAATTTCTACCAGGTACCCACACTCATCCTTCCTGCAAACCTATCCCAAAGGAGCTAAGGATTCCAGTATGGGGGATGTCTTACCATTAGCTCAAAGTTCAGATGAATTCTAGCAACAGTAACTGGTTGTTGCTGACTGATATAAAGAAGAATCTTATACTGTATTTAAGCAAAATGGGCAGAAAAAAGAAAACAGAAGTTAACGAGCAATATAAAACATAATACATAATACATAATGCTATGTAAGACATAGGGTTATGCCTTATATACCTACAAAACTCAAAACTCTGTTCATCTCTTAAAGGTTTAGATTTTAAATTATATCTTCTCATTAGTCAGTTTATATCTTCTCATTTTGGCCTTACTCTTTAACTATAATAAAGAATCTTTGTTGGTGTTTTCATTCATACAAGGAATGACTAAGAGGTAAGTAACTGATTGCTTAAAACATAATAGTAAATTGTACAAATCTTAAATGTACAACTCAATGAATTTTTACACATATATATGCCCATGTGATGACCAATCGGATTGGGGTGGGGGAGAAAATATTTCCAATATCCTAGAAGTGCCATTATGACACTTCCTCTTAATAATCCCTACCCTGAAGTAACCACTACTCTGACTTCTATCACTGATTAATTTTGCTATTCTTAAACACATATGAATGGGATTCTAGAGTGTACTCTTGTCTTGCTGCTTCTGCTCACAAGTTAAGATTAAGCCTTGTTACTTCTTGTACCAGACCTTGGCTCTCTTTTATTGTCATGTAGCATTCTCTTTTATGAATATACCATAATATATTCATCCTTTCTCCTGTTTCATTTTAAGTCGCTTCCAGTCAGAAGCTTCTGTGAAGAGTGCTTCTGTGAACATTCCCCATGTCATCTGGAGTGCACAGACATTCATTTCTTTCAACCTACACAGCTTCCTTTAATGTTTCTTATAATACAAATCTGTGGACAACAAATTCACTTAGCTTTTGTTGGAAAACTTATCTTGTCTTTATTTTTAAAGGGTATTTTTTTGGATACAGATTTCTACATAGGGGTTGGGGGTATAGTTCATGGGTAGAGTATGCATTTAGCATGTACAAGGCCCTGGGCTCAATCCCCAGCATTAAAAAACAATAATAATTTAATGCACAATAAAATACTACTTTGCACCTACTAGAATGGCAAAAATAAAAAATAAATAACAAGATATTGGCAAGGATGTAGAGAAACTATAACTCTCCACTGCATGCAGGAATGACTTTGAGAAGTTCCAGACTTTAGTCAAGGAAGTAATTGCAAATGTGGTGCAAATAGTAAGAATTAAAGTATAGCCTGACAATGTGACTGAGTTGCTATAATCTCATGATAAAACTTTTAACAGATGAGAACTGTTTCCTATGAATGAGCAAAGGAAGAGGCTTCTGCTGGGCGCAGTGGCACCGGCCTGTAAACCCAGCAGCTCAGGAGTCTGAGGCAGGAGGATCACAAGTTTAAAACCAGCCTCAGCAAAAACGAGGTGCTAAGCAATTCAGTGAGACCCTATCTAAATAAAACACAAAAAAGGGCTGGGGATGTGGCTCATTGGCCGAGTGCCCCATGTTCAATCTTAGGTACCAAAAAGAAAAGAAAAAGAAAGAGGCTTCTTTAGATGGACTCTACCCTTGTTCAAATGAAAACAAAGGATTTAGATAATATAACCTTAGCTGATAAGACAGCAGCCAGGTTTGAGAAGACTAACCTCAATTTTTAAAGAAGTTCTGTGGATAAAATATTATCAAACAGCTTTGCAATTTACAGAATTCTTTCATAAAAGAAAGCTTCACTGTCTTATTTTAAGAAATTGCCATAACCATCACAACTTTCAACAGCTACCACCCTGACCAGTCAGCAGTCAACAACACTGAGGGAAAATTCTCCACCAGCAAAAAAAATTACGACTTGCTAAAGGCTCAGAAGATCATTAGCTATTTTAGTATTTTTAGTTAAGGTATGAACATTTTCTAGACATAATGTTATTGCATACTTAATAGATTACAGTATAGTGTGAGCATAACCTTAATAAGAATTGAACAAACAACAGCAACAACAACAGAAAACCCTCATGTGACTCACTTTATTGAGTCATTTGCTCTATTGTAGTGCTCTGGAACCAAACCTTCAAACCCATAATCTCTGAAATATGTTTATATACCCAAAAGAACTGAAAATAGGAACTCAAACATGTACTTGTGTGTCAATATTCATTGCCCCATTATTCACAATAGCCAAAGACAGAGATAATCCAGTGTTCCTCAACTGATACATTATTCAGCCATGAAAAGGAATGATGTACTGACACATACTGCAATGTGGATGAACCTTGAGGATATTGTGCTAAATGAAAGAAGTCAATCACAAAAGAACAAATATTGTATGATTCCACTTACATAAGGTATAAGGCAAATTCATACAAATAGGATGTAGATCAGAAATTATGGAGGAATGAGGGAAATGGAGATAGAGTTATTGCTTAATGGTTTAAGTTTCTGTTGGGGATTAGGAAAAATTGGAAAGAGATAGTGGTGATGGTTGCTCAATATTGTGAGTAGAATTAATGCCACTGAATTATGTACTTAATATAGTTAAATAGCAAATTCTATTTTATATGCATATAGATAGATATAGATACATTAACATACAAATACAGTTGGCTCTCAGTATCTGTCAGTTCTATATCCATGGATTTAACAGAATGTAGATTAAAAATATTTGGTGAAAAAATTTTGTCCACACTGAACACGTACAGACTTTTAAAATCATATTATCTAAACAATATAATAACTATTTATTTTGCATTTACATTATATTAGGTGTTGTAAATAAGCTCATGATGGTTTAAAGTATGTATACTATAGGAGAATATTCACAGGTTAAATCCAAATACAGTCCTAGGACAATAGGGAATTTGATCATGCAGATTTTGGTATCTGCAGGGGGGGGTCCTAGAACGAATCCCCCATGGATACCAAGGAATGAGATACAGAGAGAGATAAAGAAAGAGAGAGAGAGAGAGAGAGAGAGAGAGAGAGAGAGAGAGCGCACACAGAGTTTATTTCCTACAAAACTACAAGACTCAAAAGTTTCCCTCTATATTTCTGGTTCAGCCCCTGGACTTCTACACCATCCCAGTACTTTGCAAATGTCCCATGAAAGAAAAAAACAATCTGGTGTTTGGAAATCCTCTAATTTTTCCAATTTCTCTTTTCTCCATGCCTACTACCTAATCTACACCTAAAACTTGCAAAAATCTCAAGGCAAAGAAACAGAGTTATCTCATTGGCTCTTCCTTTTCTGAAATTTTAGTTCATCTAGGCTTCAACATTTTCATAGTACTCCAATGAATTCTGAAGTACAACTTTTGCAATTCATGTACTTCTTTGTACTTGTTGCAGAGATCCGCTATATCCTATCTGGTGGTAAGGTATAGTGAAGTCCCACTACATTTTTGAAATCCAAATGGCACCTCCTAATGAATTGACAGATCTAGATAATAATCATTGATGGCTGGTAATATAAAAATGAGAAATGATCATTATTTCCTCCTGATGGGAGTATAAACTATTTAAGGGATACAGCAACCAATTGCAATGTATAACCTTATTAGATCCAGATTCAACAAATTATTTTTTTAAAAAAGCAGAGAGAGGAAATTTGTACACTAACTAGCAGGGAATGAGACTGAGAAATTATTGTCTGCTTTTTTTTTTAAGGCATGATAATGGCATAATAGTTTTATTTTTAAATAGCTCATCTTTCAGTGATATATACTAAAGTATTTGCAGCTAAAATTGTTTGTTGATATTTGTTCAAAATAATCTGAGTGGGAAAAAGAGGAGAGCATGTGGTTATAGATAAACAAAAAAGACTAATAACTATTAATAATAATTACCTTGGAGTTCAATATCCAAGATCTACTTTTTTAATGAGTTTCAAGTTTTGCACAATTAAGTTTTTTGTTTGTTTGTAAGACAATGTTATCCATTACATTAGTGACCCTGGACAAGTAATTTTATCTCCTTGCCTGAAAGTCTCTGAGGAACATGGAGTCCATGTTCTCTGGACCTCTGAAATTCTATAATTTCCTATATTTATCTCAACAATGTTCAAAATCTTCTGGAGTAGTTTTTATAGATAGATTCAACCCATACAAAAAAATGAGTCTCAGGGCTTGTAGCTACTTCTGCTTTTTGACCCAAACTACTATTATACTGTGAGCAACTGCCCAATCTTGTTTTCAAATTTTCAAAAGATAAACATTGGTCATTAACAAAAGCATAAAGATATGCTGCTTGAAGTAATATTATAAAGTTCAGTACACAACAAAAGGATGTCCGTGATAATAGTTTACTCTAAAACCCTCCAAATTCTTAAGCTAGGACCATTTCACAAAGATGTCTACAGTAAAGCTTTTGAGTGGTTGAACCTGTTTTAACTCATAACAGCAAGCAAACTATGTTCATTTGTTATATCCTAATATTATACTCTTACATTCAAATTCAGCAATCATTCTGACACATGAGACACTTGGACATGTCTGCTCCCAGATTTAAAAAAAAAAAAAAAAAATCAGCTCACTGGTATTATTTGAAGCACTTGAATATGCATGAGACGTATAGTGTTCTTACCTCTCTGGCTGTGTGGTTCCCCAGGACTGCAGCACCAAATTTGCCCTGCTTTACATACTGACCATTTGTGCTATTGAAGTAAACAATAAAAAAAAACAAGAGATATTAATACTCTTCTGAACTATACAGAACCAACTTTCACTCAGTCATCTAAAAGGGGGAGTCTAGTCATTCAACCTTTAGGAAGGGACAGAGGTGGGCAGTTTATAATTTAAAGCCCTAACATAACTTCTTTACTCTTTAAATATCTATTATTCATGATATCTCAGTGCAGTGGCTTTCTCTGAGAACTTGAAAAGGCAGTTATTGGTTATGAGCATTTCTTTTTTTTTTTTTTTAAAGAGAGAGAGAGAGAGAATGAATTTATTTATTTATTTAGTTTTTGGCGGACACAACATCTTTGTTTGTATGTGGTGCTGAGGATCGAACCCGGGCCGCATGCATGCCAGGCAAGCGCGCTACCGCTTGAGCCATATCCCCAGCCCCTATGAGCATTTCTTAAAGACAAGAGATGAAATAATGGCTCTGTATGTTTTATGGTCAGAAATCTCCAACTGAAATGTTAAAAGTGTTACTGATACTTAGTCTGTGGAAGGGCTGAGTAAGTAGTTTGCAATAAATAGAGGCTTTCTGAGAAAAGACAGCAGAGCTTAATTGTAGTCCCCTCTCCTCCACCAAACTTAAGAGAATTTCTCTTCTCAGCTACTTACTATCGATATGCATGGACTGCTGTTGCAACCAGTACTGTGGAAGTGCCCGCTGTGGTTGGTGCTGTTTTTGGTGTTGCCTGATTTCCTGAAGATGAACAAAACGAAGTTGTCAATCATTTCTTGCTTGAAACTGATTTTAACCATTAAACTAGCTTTAAAATTCTTCTTTATACCCAGTTAGTGTTATAATGCATTCATATCCTCATTTGATCCACAAGGTAATCCCATGACCCAGTCTCGGGGTGAGGCAAAAGGCTGTAAGCATTTAAGTGCCTTCCACAAAGACAGCAACAAGCCTTGGAGTAGAACTCATGACTCCAACTCCCAAGCCACAAACCACAAACAAGTCTTTGAGCTGCACAGAAGCACTGTCTAGCAAGCATGGTCCTATTGCCTCTACTTGATTTTCTTCATCAAATATTTTGACAGCTATAATATATAAAAATAGATATTTCTCAGGTTTTGGATGTAGCTTAGTGGTGGAGAACTTGCCTAGCATATACAGTGCCCTGGGTTCAATCCCCAGTAACACAAAAATAATAAATTAATTTAAAAAAAAAAAAAACTAAGTTGTTTCCCTTTTTCTTCCTTCTGGGGTAGGAAATTTGGGGTAATTTAAATCATACCCATTACTTAACTTCACAAAGTGCTATAGAGTAACACTTATGTTCTAAAATTGGAAATTGTGGCTGGGGATGCAGCTCAGTGGTAGAGCCAGTGCTTAGCATGAACCATGCCCTGGGTTTAAACCACATAACTAAAGAGTTGGTGTCAGTCAGAAAGTTTCTCAGTGTATGGGGAAAACCCTGCACACAATTAGCATCATAGACAGATGCTGTGAGTGAGTAGAAAGTACAGAGTAAAGAAAACAAAATAGTTTGTTCCTTCCTTTTACATGGGCCATACATATGGGATCTATTGCCGCAACTCAACTCTAAACACCCTGATAAATATCTTCAGTGCCAGCATAGTACTTTTTTTTTTTTATTGGTTGTTCAAAACATTACAAAGCTCATGACATATCATCTTTCATACATTTGATTCAAGTGGGTTATGAACTCCCATTTTTGCCCCAAATACAAGTTGCAGAATCACATCGGTTACACATCCACATTTTTACGTCAGCATAGTACTTAACATGTAAAAGGCACTCAATACTTTCTTTAATCTTCATTCAACAAGTGTTTCATTCAATGTCCCTAACCATTTGCTCTACTTAGGATCATTACTATCAATCCCTTATTCCTACTTGGGTTCTTATACAAAGACAGCAAAGTGTAAAGGAAGGAATAAAAGCTACTGAGTTAGTTAGATCAGGGTTCAAATTTCAACTCTTGTCACTTACTAAGTACTGACCTTGATCAAATTCCTAAACCTCTTTGAGCCTCTATAATCTGGTTATGTCACCTACTTCACAGAATCACTGCAAGAATGAAATAAGACAACCTATGTAAAGCACCTGAGGCCAGACACATAACAGACATCTTAGAAATATTAGTCCCCAGTTCTCTCCTTTTGTCCAGCAGATGTGCATTCAACAAATGCTTCCTGTGTCCATCCTGATAAAAGAATAGGACTTACTGCAATGCTTGTCACCATCTAGTTAGGAAAAATTCAGTCAGCACACAGCTAACCCACTCAAGTGCAAGAAGTATCAAGCAGTTCTTCTTTCTCACTGAAACACTGAACAGTGCCTACTAGAGTACCTTGGGCAGTTTTGGAGGGCGGCATGCACATGGGGTGGTGTGCATATGGGACAGAAGAGCTTGCCACTGACCTTCTCCACTAGTTCCCAACAAAGAGCACACTATCTAGCCACTGGAACTCAGAATCCCAGAGTTTAAAGATGCATCCATCAGTAGAGTGGCTTAGCCAGAAGGTCAAGGATGAACCACCAGGCAAGTGGCTTTTGCAAGGCTGCTTATGACTCTAACCTGTTAAGGCACAATGAAAATGCCTCTTAACTTACCTATTGCTGCTGTTCCCGGGCCTTTCTTAGGCTGCTTTGGAGCTGTATACTGGAAGAATTCATTTCCATGGCCAGCAGCAACCTGATCCAGTCCAAAAAGAGAGGCCAGTCTGGCACTGTTAGTAGAAAATAAAAATGAAATTTCATTTGACATATCCCAAACTTGGAGTCATTATTAAAGCTGCTCACCTCCAACCTGAACAAATACCTCCCAACCATTCAATATTGGAAGTTGCAGCTGTAATCAAGTGTAATTGTACTCAGAAAACATCAGCTGACCCTGTCCATCGATAAGACTTGGGTTTGTTTCTTCTTCTTGTGCCCCAGTTTCTCCATCTAAAAACTGAAATTAGTCCAGCTGCTGTGTTTATTTGAACTGTAAATTCTTGCTCAAGCAAAAAAACATAATTTCTTGTCACTCTACTAATTACTCCCCCTCCTCTTTTAGCTAGTTGATAAGATGTAATGAAACTGTAATACAAACTCACCAGCAGACATAATCTCTCCTATCATTCCATCTAGCATGGAGGACCATTCTTTGTTCATCTCTTTCAGGTATCTTATGTCTCCAATTTCTACTGAAACAGATCTTACTAAGGTCACTCACTGACAGCCTCTAATTATCAAATGCAGTTTATCAGTGCTTATCTTATTTGACCTCATGCTACCTTTTTATACAGTCCACAAATTTGTTCTACAAACAATCTCTTCCCATCACTTCTTTGGAGATACCTACAGGAATGGAAGGAAGGACAGGTCCTAATAAGACATCAATAAATGCTAATGGGATCCCTCTCTTGTTTTCTTCCCATGGCTCTGACTCTCATTTAACTTTCTTGCCACCTGTTCCTTTGTCTGTTCTTTAAATGTCCATGTCCCCAAGGTTTTAAACTCTCTCCCTTGGGAATCTCTTTTATTTACCTTGGTATCAAAGGCTATCCTAATACTGATAAGCTCAAATCTGTATCCCCAGTACAGAATTTGCTCCTGAGAATTGGAAAACACAGATATACCACAAGCAACCCAGACACAAGTCCAGCCCAGAGCTCATGTCCTCCCATCTCCATTGCCCCAAAAAAACCTATTCTTCCTCTTGGGCCCCAAGACCATTGTGGGTTCAACGATTCACTAGGACTCACTTGACTTGGCGTATAGCTCAACTCATGACTAATATCTATACATTGAAAGGATACACAGTGGCCAGGCATGGTGGCACATGCCTGTAATCCCAATGACTCTGGAGGCTGAGGTAGAAGGATCACAAATGTGAAACCAGCCTCAGCCACTTAGCAAGGCCCTAAACAACTTAATGAGAGCCTGTCTCAAAAAATAAATAGAGCTGGGGACTTAGTTCAGTGGTAAAGTACCCCTGATCCCCAGCACCAAAAAAAAAAAAAACAGAGAAATCAGAAAAAGTAAAAGGTACAGGTGTCGAAGTCCAGAGGAAATCTGGCACAAGCTTCTAAAAATCTTCCCTCGGTAAGTGAAGTGACACAAGACTTAACTCCAGCAATGAGTTACAACAACGGTGTAAAGGATGATTTATAAAGGAAGCTTATTAAAGACTCAATGCCCAAGATTTTTATTGGGGTCAAATCATACAGACAACCTCTGCCTAGCATGTACCAAAACTCCAGATTCACAGAACAAAAGCAGATGTTCAGTATAAATCATATTATTTGTACAAAAGTTTAGGCACAGTGAGACACTCTTACCACTTTATTAACACTTCATATCAGTATGAGGAATTGTTACCAGGAAATTCCCAGATACCAGACAAGTACCAACTTTGTAAGCAGGACTTTCTAAGTATTATAATCTCTGGCCTGGTATGTTAACGCTTTTCTGTAAACATCCCCAACCAAAATGAAAACCTGACCATAATCTTTGATTTTTTCTGCCCAATCGTCATGGTCATGCCCAATCTCCAACTCCGTTTGATTTTATTTCCCAAATGCTTCTTAAAGCCATTCACTGTTCCCCATCCTCACTGCCACTTTTCTATTCAGGCCAACATCACAGGTAGCAAGCTTCATTTTCTGCAACACCTCTTGAGTCACCTCTCTGCCTTGGTTTTATCGCTTCTTATCCATTATCACCACTGCACCCACAATGATCTTTCTAAAAACCAAATTTGACCAAGTCTCCTTCCTCCTGAAAATCCTCAATGACACCTCAATATTACCAAGATAAAACCCAAACTCCACAAGACAGTTTTACAAGGCTGTTAAGGCCTCACCTCTTCTTATTTCTCAGCTTCCCACCTGATCATTTCTTATCTCCACCTGTGTGCTATACCTACCCCAAGAAACTTTTAGTTTGTCAATATGAAACAAAATATATTTTGGGTGGTACTGGGATCACACCCAGAACCTCACAAATGCTAGGTAAGCATTGTACCACTAAGCCAAACCCCCAAGGCAAGATCCTTTTAATCTCCAGCCTTTGGACATGGTGATCTCTCTATCTGAAACTTTCTTCCTGTTCCTCTTTTCCCCTGGAAGATGCCCCTAATCTAGGTTAGATGATCCTCCTGGAAGCTCCCATAATTCTCTATACTTCATTCATGCCAGAAATACATATTAGGCTGGGGATGTAGTTCAGCAGTAGAGCATCTGCACCACAAAGAGAGGGAGAGAGGAGAAAGGGAGGGAGAGAGAAAGAATAAGTGAGAGAGAGAGAGAGAGAGAATATGAATGGTGATACACATTTGTAACCCTAGCAACTCAGGAGGCTGAGGCATAAGGATTGCAAGTTCAAGGCCAGCCTCAGCAACTTAGTGAGGCTCTACACAACCTAGCAAGACCTTGCCTAAAAAAAAAAAAAAAAAAAAAAGTAAAGCATCCCTGGCTTCAATCCCCAGTACAAAAAAAAAAAAAAGAAAGAAATGTTGTAGGAATACATCGGTGAGCAAAACTGGATTTTTTTTTACAACTCACCTTTCTATTTTATATAATCTTCATTGAAAACTGGATTCTGTTTTCAAGGAGTTTATGGTCTACATATTCTTCTTTTTCAAAGGCAAGACAGATGTGTCACAGGTAAACTGTGTTTCCATAAATATCTTAAAAGCCAGTCAAATGATGATTGTAAAATCAATATAACGGCCAAGTCAAACTAATTAGCTTACAGATTAATTTCATTTACTATTACTATTTTAAAAATGAACTATATACATTCTTAGGAAGATAGTTTCTGAGACTTACTATATTTTTCTACTTGTAAGATGTTCTCAAGTGTACACAATCTACCTGACCATGTTAGAAAGAATGGGCTTGCTAATTCTAGACTTGATTATCTATGTTAATAATTGATAAAAAAGTCATTATGGTGTTAATATTTTAAAAATAAAAGTTAGCCAGTGCTTTAGTTGCCAAGGTCCTTACCTCACCTTAGTTTCATATTTGTTTGCTATTCTCTTTAAAACAAAAATACATCATTTATGCTATATCAATATTTTAATAAACAGGGATTCTTTTTGTTAGTAAAGTACTTCTTTAATGAATTGTGACATCAAACATCTACTTATACAATAATGATAATATCACATGGGCAGATCTGGTGAAATACACCTGCCTGATTTCAAGCCAGGCTCCATTAATAACAGTGCCACCTTAGGCAACTTATCTCTCTGAGCTGTTCCCATCTGTAAAATGGGTATAACTGTTAAAACTACCTCATAGGCAACAATGACTAAATATGATAATGTGTGTTTATGTATTCCTTGGTACAGTACCTGGCACTAAATAAACACACAATGTTTTATATACTTGTGAACACATATCCTTCTACCTCAAAATGCCAATTCAATCAGATATTATCATACAGAACAGAGAAGTCTTGATTGATGCACAAATCTCTAAGTATAAATTGACATTAGCATAAATACAAAACAATAGAACTAGGAAAAATCTCAAAGGATCATCTGAGGCAAACCTCATTATTTAATAAATTAGGGTATGCAGGGACAAGAATGGTGACTTGACTTAAGTCACATTCCTAAAAGGAATGATTTATCATTACTAATGCTAATCAGATTTGCCTACACATATCTCTAATAAAATATAAAACAAATGTATTCCTTAAAGATGCTTTGAAAAAAGCCAGGTATGGTGGCTCATGCCTATAATTCCAGCTACTCGGGAGGCTGAGACAGGAGGATCACTTGAGCCCAGAGGTTTCAGCTGGGGCAACATAGTGAGACCCTATCTCAAAAACAAAACAAAAACAGCTTTGTGATTATTATTACTACATTGATTTTATTCTACTACTAAAATGAAATTTCTTAGGGGTAGGAACTGCATCTTATTCCCAATTATATTAGCTGAACCAACTATTATTCAATTAATAGGCAATCACACATACTTCCTTATTTTCAAAGTCATAGTGGTGGAGAAAGGGCTAAGACAAAAAACAAAAAACAAAAAAGAAAAACCATATCTCCTGATTACTCTTTCTAGCTTAACCATGTACTTTAAGAGGCCCAGAAACTTAAAAAAGAGATTATCAGTCATCTAGATGGTCATCCTTGGCACTAATATTCCTACTTCTAATAGGTTTGAATGTCCTAAATAGAATCAAGTCAGAGAGTTAAGTAAATAGACCTGAAACTTAAATGAACAAGTATATTTGCAGTAAATCAGTTATAAAAAGGGAACTGAAAAGCAGTGTTCATTGTCATATGTTCTACTTCCTTAGAGAAACTAAAGGAGGAATAGCTAAATCAGAGAATGCTGATGAACCTTTCCCTAGTCTCAAATTTTTTCTCTTCTTTTTGATACTGGGGAAGGAACCCAGAGGTACTCTATGATAGAGCTACATTCCCAGCCTTTTTATCTTTTATTTTAAGTTTTAACTTTTATTCTAAGTTACTTAGGGTCTTGCTAAGTTAGTCTAGAACTTGTGATCCTCCTGCCTCAACCTCCCAAGTCACTGGTAGGTGTGTGCCACCATGCCCAGCCCTATTCTCAATCTTAAATTTTATTTTATTTTCCTGGTTGTTGCTGGGAACAAAAATAAATTATCAGATTAACTTTCTTAATAAGTTTCTTATCATTAAATTAGCTGATATATGTGTCTAGGAGCACAATCATGTGCCTAGAATTGAGTGTCTCAGGTTCATGATAAGCCCATACAGGAAAGCAGAATAGTCGAATCACCAAGAACTTATCTTGGGCCAGGAATCCAGAAAAGGGCACATGACCATCATGTCTACTCTTGTAATTTTCAATCAGCAGTGGACTGCTTGACTCATGAGAGCTGGGAGTATGAACATTCCTTTGCAGACTTTTCCAGATACTTTTGCATAGTGGAGAATGTGAATTTACAGTATGCTTTGAAAATGTCTAATATACAGCCACCCACAAACTAGGTTCGTATAAAAATATATTAATTCAAAAGGCTAACTACACAACCAACAGCAGCAGGGAAACTGGACTGCATGGTGATTTTAGTGAATGTTCTGAGTCAGATAGGGAAGAAAGGAACCAAAGCACAATTTAAAGTAACTGAGCATCTGAAATTACTCAAAATGGAATTAAGTGGATGCAGGCCATCTAAAATGACAGCAGGGGTAAAACAAAGTAGTGAGTCAAAAAAAAAGAGGGGCTGGGGCTGTGGTTCAGCAGTAGAGTGCAGGGCTGTGGTTCAGTAGTAGAGTGCTCACCTAGCATGTGCAAAGCCCTGGGTTCAAACCTCAGCACTACATAAGACTAAATAAATAAAATAAAGGTATATATAAAAAAGAACGATAGGTAATACATTACTAGTCAGTGGGTGTCCACAAAGAGTCCAAAAGATAGTCAGTCATCTTATGGTTATTTATGTGTTAAACTCTGCAACAGCAACTTGAGGGTCGGTACAGCAACTTAATCATCTCTGTAACCTCTTCCCATTTAGTAGAACAAGGGGCATATGTTAATGTGCTCATCATTCTTCAGGATGCACAACATTTGTAATGAAGATGGTCAAAGAAAGGCTATGCAAACATCAGAGACTGGCAGTCAAGGCGTCTTAATACAACACAAGAGAAAACACACTAACCCAATACAAACGAAAACCCTAAACTAATTATTGAAAACGACGATGGTATACATAATGTTTGAGGACAGGGGTTAACAACCGCAGCCTCTCACAATGGTTTTAAACTTCACGGTTTACAGAGTGCAATTTCACAGCTATTATTCAAAAGACACTCACTGATCATTTACTATGTGCAAGGTCCCGTGCTGAGCTCTAGTTAAAACGAACAATATAAGCTGTCCCTGTCCTACCAGGGTTTATAATCTACTAGGTTCGCATGCAAATACAAGCCTGGTCGGACGAATGAGGAATAGAAAGTATTTTATTCTGCCCGGGGTGATGGGAGAGGGAAAGTACCAAAAAGGTGACATCCGATCTAGGCCTTGAAGAATGCTGGGGCCGACCCACCAGTCCTGGTTCTAAAGTGTCACCGCCTCATCCATGGTTTTAGAAGAGAAACTCTCGTGTGGCCCCAGCTGACTCCTCTAAAAACTCGGAGGCAGGCAGACTCATCAGCAATCACCCCACTTCAGAGAAATTTTGACCCAGGGAACAGAAGGGGAACCCCAGAGTCATACTGCGTGTCAAGGGAGATGCCAGCTCCAGAACCCAGATCCACAGACTCCTCGCAGTTGCGAGCCCTGCCCAAGATTCTGAGGAGTGTAAGCACCGGAATGCGGTCGGGGTCTGGACCCGGAAGTTGGAAAGAGGCCTGAGAAGAGATCGACCCCTCCAACCATCCGCCGGTCTCTGTCAGCCATGCCTTATGGCCCGTGCTTCTCAGTCACTCACCCGCCACTAGGCGAGAGGAAGTCGGTGTCGTCCTCATCCCCGGCACCGAACATCGCGTTCGCCTTCTCCAGGCGGTGGGGAGAAAGCCGGAAGTTCCCAGGGCCTGTCACCGCCGACGTCGTAAAATGCCGCGGTGGCGCGCTTTTTTCCGGCAGGGCAAACTCGCCCGGTTGCTCTGCGGCGAGCAGACTGGATTCTGGAAAGGGTGGAGCAAAGGCAAATGAGGGCTTCGCGCTGGCACGACGTGAGGCCTCTCCTGCCCGCAAAGGGGGCGGGGTTCCGAAGTTCTGCACGAGGATTGGTCAGCGAGCCTAGGGGCGGGGCAGGGGCGGGAACCCGCGGCCTCTGTGGCAGTGGTGGACACGTCGAGCCGGGCAGAAGTAGTAGGGGCTTCTGAGAAGTCCTGAGTCGGTGACGAACTCAGGCTCTGAGAGCGAGGCGTCTGTGGCGGGACTCGACCTGGCAAGGTAAGGCCTCCCCGCTGCTTCTCACAATCCTGGCATGGCCACTGTCCTTCTCCCTCCGGGGCAAGGACCCTCCGCCGCTCTTTGCTCGGCGGAAGGAGAAAGATCCCCGGGCTAGAGATCTGAGTCTTGGCCTGGCTCCTACAGTGACATAGCTGGAGTGACCTTAGGCAGGGTGCTCGGTGCCTCAGTTTCCCCTCTATGCAATGGGCAGTGTGTCCAGTTCCTTGTATACCAACTTGTCAAGAAGCTTTTAAACCTCAAAGGTCATTGAGTCCAATTCAGGTCCCCTCATAATCCCAGAATTTGCAATTAAGGAAACGAATGAACTTGGGTGACTAGTCCGAGGTCACGCAGAGTAAAGCACAGGCTGGGACTGGATTCCTGATCCTTCCATTCAGGATTCAGAGAGCTAATGAGTGAACATGAACCTAATAGCCCTTAAACACTGTGTGCCCATATAAAGTGGTCATCACTGGACTGTGTGGCATATGCCAGGGAGCAGGGAAGGAGGGATACCCCTTTCCAGAGTACCCGCAAATAAGGTGCAGAAAAACTAGGATATTCTAGGAGTGGGTGACGAAAAGGAGAAAACTTTAGGGACATTAAAGTCCCTGGTTTTGCTGAGTCTTCTTGCAACAATCCTAAATCAACATCAGTTTATGCCAACTTTTCTGCCTCCAGTTTCCACCCTCTGTGTCTTACATAAATATTTCTTTGGTTAACCTGGTATAATTCTTGGAACAATCTTGGGGTAGCTCTGGTTTAATCAAGCTGTGGATAAGCAGATAGTATCCCAGTGTAGTATCCATTTCCACAGGTCTCACTGGAGTTGTTTCACTCAGTCTTCCCTCTCAGTCGGGTTGGTCCCTTACCTGAATGTTTTAATCTCTTAGCATTAAAGTGAAATGATTGGTAGCTTACTCTGAGAGAACTTGGTACCTTTTGGCACTTCCCTGGTTGTGCTTCTTATTATAGTTTGCATATTACTAAATTGTAAGCCTTCTTGCCCATAATGAGTTCTCATTAATTCTTTATTGGTTTGAATAATGAAATTTCTCCTTGTTCCTGTATTCCTTAATTTACTTAGATTGCTTTTCCTGTGTGACCTATAGAATCCAGCCATGACTCTTGCCTTGTATAGGTAGCTTCCAGAGAGATAAAAATGCTGTATTGGCTGTGACTATCTGGATTGCTTACTCTCTTTTGTTAATTGAAGGTGATTGTACTATATTGTCTGAAACTCTAGGGGAGGGAAAGGGGGGGAATAGGATAGCTAGAAATATTATATGTAACTATAATTTTTGTAAGTAAATTATTTCTCTATTTAACTGAGGATAGTGCTGTTTGCTGTTTCTTATGTTTATTTTATAGTTTAAGATGGTTAAAGCAGTGAAGGCTAACAGTGTTAAAGTAGTGATGCAAGTGGAATCTAAGCATTAGAACTGGAACCTGTTGTAGTAGCTCTGAATAGAATGTGAACTTGTCTACCTCTGGGTGGGGGGAATGAACTGGATAAATGAACTTGGCTACCTCTGGGGGCAGAAATGAACCTTAGCTCTTTTCTAGCTCCTTCTCCCTAGTATATGTCACTCAGCACTAGAGTAGTGTTGTTTTGTTTTGTTTTGTTTTTCATTGGTACAGGGATTGAACCCGGGTTGCTCTTCTACTGAGCCATGTTTTTAACCCTTTTCATTTTTTGTTTTGAAACAGTTTCTCACTAGATTACTAAAGCTGCCCTTGAACTTGGGATTCTTCTGCCTCAACCTCCCAAGTAGCTAGGATTATAGGGATATGCTTTAGGGCCCAGTTTAAACAGTGCTTTTAAAATATGCCAAGCTCATCTTTGATTCTCTTGAGCTCTTATCTTGCATTCTTGGATGGAGATGTTTTTCTCCAGGATGTTTTAAGCAGCTTTTTTTGATATTTGGGAATCCTAAAAATCAACCTTTTTGGTGATTGGGACACCACAAACATGAACGCCCAGATTACCATTGTGGGGACACAGGTGCTGATTTTTTTCATTGGCAGTATGAGAAATAGAAAGATGGTGGCAAGTATTCCACAGTCCCACACTCAAATTTGCAGGATTGGGTGTACCTGAAAAGCAAGTGTCTTTCTGAATTAGAGTATCTCCAGATTGATAGTATTAGACAAAGAAACGGGAAACCTGGCCTTCTGTCCCAACCTCTTCTAACTCACTCTGAGCTTGGGCCAGGCTCCAAAAACACTTTGGAATGGATCTCCTTTCACATATCTACTGAGTGTCACTGGGGCACAAAGATAAGTAAGACATAACCCTGATCTCAAGTTTAAATTAAGTATTTGTGTTTATTTTATTTTGCTTAAGTATACAGTTTTTCAGTGTATTCATAAAATGTGTTGATCTCCTGAAAATTGACTGGGAAGCAGCAGTTTTAATAATTCCTTTCAAATTACCAGTAATTTTGCAACAGATAATTTTATATACAAGTATACAAATATTGACCTGTGCTGGTGAATGTATTTTAAAATTAATGAAGTTAGAGCTAAATTAAATTATAGATGTGATATAGGGATTTGAATTGAATAAGTTTGATATTGGTATAGTGGTCTGTTCCTTCCATCACTGAAAGCAGAAGAATGTCAGAATAAAATTCAAGAAATATCATCTGAAAGCCTGTTGTGTGTGGAGGACTGTGCTGGGTGTTGTGTAGGGTAAGAAAGTTAAGTAAATCATTGTTTTGTCCTCAAAGAGTTCACAGTCCATAGAGGGTAGAGTGCACAAATAACCATAACTGATGACATAGTGAAGAAAGTCCCATAAGAAGAAGAAATTAATTATTGTAGGATTTCAAAAGAGGAACAGCTCATACCTAGTTTGGAGGAGATTATAGGGTTAGGAATAGGCTTTGAAGATGAGTAGGATTCCAAGTGAAAGTGAAGAAATAAGCCTTTCCAGGTTGAGGGAGCAACTTTGGCAAACACACAAAGTTAATTAAAGTGGGAATCCTCTGAGTATTAGTTACACACATAATTTACACATTTTATTCTAATTTAAAATATAAGCATCCTTTGCAGGATGTTTATATTTTAAATTAGATCCTTTTCTTTTAACCTAAGGCTCAGCCTTTTCTAAAGTGTTGGTCTTAGAGATCAACACTTGTGAATCCTACCCCAGCCCCCTGTCTGTTATTGTAAATAAGGTTTTTTGGAACACAGCTGTGCTCATTTATTTACATATCATCTTTGCTACTTCATCCTATAAGGCAGTGTAAAGTGGTTGCAGCAGAAACTGCAACCATTTTGTCCATTATGCCTAAAATGTCTACTATCTGACCCTTAAGAGATCACTTAGAAGTCTTAATCTGTGGTTTCTTTAAAATGCAGTGAATAAAGTCATTTGCAAAGCAGTCCCAATGCAGAATCTTTCTAGGTGTTGATGACATTTCCTCCCAGCCTTTATATTGGACTTTTCCACATACCTAACAGCAGATTGTATGTATCTGTGTGACTCACCTTTATCTAGTCTTTCCAAAATAGTTAGTTTGATTTTTATACAAACAACTACTAGAGAGGCTCTGTGGAATAGTAGTTATATTAAGCTCTAGAGTCAAATTTCTTCGCTACTTATTAGTTGTATAGGCCTTAGGCAAATTGCTTGGTTTCTTCCTTTGTAAAATAGGAGTAATGATAGTATCCATTTCTTTGGGTTCTTGTAAAGATTATATGAGTTATGGTGTATAAAGCACTAAGAACAATGCCTGGCAGGTAATAAGTACTCGATTAGTGTTAGTTGCGACTCTCATTTTTCCCATTTATACTTCACTATTTTACATAATATGAAATTAAGTTATATATTTATAACAATAAACTCAACTGGCATAAATTGGTCTGTGAACGAACACAATTGACACCCTTCCTAAACATAGCTTACTGAGAGGGAGAACAGAAGTGTTGCCTCCATCATATTGGAGGATGGCCTAGCCATTGTGTTGTTAGGTAAGTTGCTTAAGAGTTCTGTGGGAGAATTTACTAAGTATAAGACAACAATGATGGATTAAAATTAAAAAGGAATCCAGAGCCATATATGTTAACAAGTTTGTCCTTAGATCAGTAGGAAAAGGATTTTTTTTATTCTAATGACATGATTAATATAAGAAAAATCTATATGGCCTAGAAGTGTCTGAAATATAAAGTCAACTGTTACCTTGCCCCACTCCACGTGAATAACCCCTTCTTGTGGATGTAAGAATTGAATGCGATCCACCATTCAAGGCAGTGTAATTGACCTGTTGAAAACCTCAATCCAGTTCCCCTTGGGTTATAATCTCAATTTTGAATTGATAAGGATAAAAGTTTCAGTCTGAATGTGAATAAAGTAAAATGACTCCTTAGAAGGTAACAATTCCTACTATTCAGAGTCTGATACTTAATGTCTTCCTCTCCCTTTTGTTTCCAGCGTGGCTCTGCTGTTGATTCCTCTTTGCACTTTCCCCACTACAATAAGGAAAAGATGACACAATTATCACTAGAAAAACAGGTGTTTGCAGTGACAAAATGACTTCAATTAGTGAATGTCAGATAAGTCAGTGACCAGGCAGCATCCAGATAACTGTCATTTCAAGTTGGCAAGGCAGGCATGATGGAGAAAGGGGAGGGAGGCCTGAGGAAGTTGCTGATGCCACATGCAGTTCTTAGCATACCAAAGCCATTTGAAAAAAATCATTGGTGTCCCATACTTTGTGACTAAGTATGACGAGTCATCTAAAGTCTGATACTTAATATATTACAATGAACAGTGTAGGCCATAAGAAATCTTATAGCAGGTACTGGAAAGGAAATGCTTTTGAAGTTTCAATGCTTTGAGTAACATCATTTCATGATTTAGGTAACATCCCCCAGCAGAGGAGGGGCCCATCCTTAGGAATGCAAAGCCCTGCAGAGAAGGAAAGGGTTGAGAAGGGTCCACCCTACCTCTTTTCCTTTACACAATGGCCCTGGGGATTAGTATACAACCTGCT